GCTTGGAAATCTTTTAAAATGTCACCAGCAGTGATGTGCGTAGGATCTTAAGCAACATATACATTTTATCCTTTTAAGAAACATTGTCTAATCTACAGCTAGAAATGTAGATTTGCCCTTCTTGAAAAGCAATTTTCTGCATTCAGCTGGCTTTCTGGCCTTTTGGACTGAAAAACTACACCTCAATAGAGGGAAGTGGGGGGAATCGTTTTTCCATCCTGCAAGAATGTTTGCAATTTTGAAGACATTTCCCACTGTAATTAAAGGCAAATCATGTTAACTATATGAAGTGAGACTTTTTTTTTTCCCCTTCATTTAAACTGAACTTCAACAGTGGTGTTGATTTAAAAAAACAAACAAACAAACAATTAATTCCAGAAACTGTGAAGTAGAGAAATAGCTAATCGCAGCTATTCTACAGATTACTTCAGCTTTGTCAAACTTACACTTTTGCTTTACTGATAATTCCAAAGCAAGACTATCCTGGTGGCTGTCACCTTAACATTGTCCGTAGGTTCACTATAGTGCTTTATTCCTCTATTACCGAAGCCAGTGATTGTCAGGTAAGAGCAAATATGTTCGGCAGCATTTTTCCTTTATTTTCACTCTTGAGACAGCCATCTCGAACACGACTTTGCTGGCCCTGGCAGCAAGTCACCCTCTGCATGGGCAGCATAGAAAGGTGATGGCTCTTCCCTGGGCTCTACAACTTGCTGTGCTCAGAAGTCTGATCTCTTAACGCTCATTAAGAAGATGGTGATAGAGTCTGGAAGCTGAAAACCCAGGGCATAGTTCTGCGACTTGTATACTAATTAGCAGTCCTGAATTCAGCATGTCTCTGAATGGGTTCACACCACCATGTGCAGGGACCTCCAGGAACTGCAATCCTCTCCTTACATCCTGAAGGCACCACATCGGGACTTAAGGATCTTGTGTTCGCTTTTTGCAAGAACTGCATAGGAACTCCTCAGGATGTTTATTCTAGCTGTGATCTGCGTACACATGATCCTTCCTGGGAAGATGCTAAAGCCACCACCAAGCCTGAGAACTGTTATTGCTCGTCTTTGCGCTCCTCTGTCCTTCTCTGTCTGTTTTCTCTTGCATTGCACTTTTGACACTAATTAGTTCTCGTGGACTGAGCAAAGGAATCTACAGAAAGGAGCAAAGCAGAACCAAACTATAGTCAGTCGCTTCATTTTGCTATATAAAGAGAGTTCATGTCTCCACTGGAAAGGTTTTAGGGTCCCATGGACTTACATCGTAAGTATTTAGTGGCTCAGACCTGCCTTTGCCTAGCAACTAATGCAACAGGATCCTCGTTCTGATATTCAGAGGCCCTGGCCAGCATAAGAAATAAGTGCCCTTAGCGGGTGCCTCTCGATAGAGTTTCTGTGAAAATCACTGGAGGTGGGAAGAAGCAGACATAAAGGAAATGGTGGGTTTGAGAGTCCTGTTGAAGGAGAAGAGTCTTCCTTTACTATTGCTGCTCAAGTTGCTTATGCGATCCTGTCACTGTGGAGTTGTAACGGAAAAAGAGCTTGCGTTATAAAAACCTGCAATAATTAACAGCCCCATCAGTCACAGATCTGCCATTAGGAAGCTACTTTTGCTTTTTCCATTAAGTTGGTATATTTTGCCAAAGTGCTTTTCTTCAGTGTTTTGGCTCTTGTCCCCACTCTCAGCGTTTAGAGTATTGGCTGTGCAAGGGGTCCAGGAGCAGAGCTGACGCCAGCTGGATCCCATCCTGTGCGTTTGTCTCCTTCGCAGCCCAGTCAGTGTCACTGGAATGGAATTACGTGCTAGATTTTCCCTGAGGCTCGTCCCATCACCGTGTTGGTCAGCAAGGATTTTGGAAGCAAATTTTGGGTGTGAAGGTACTCTTGTGCCCCTCCAAAAAACCACATGGGCTTCAGTTAGGTGTGTTTTGTGCATGGGTGTCCGTTCTGTATACGGCTGCGCAAGTCTCATCCTCACCAGAGAGAAGGTGTCCTGAACCTTGGGAGGGCTCCTTTCCTAGGAGTTTCCATCACATTGCCCACCCCTTCCCCTTATTTTCCTATGGTCTCGTTGGGCAGTCGAGCCCCATCGCTGGCTCTCTGGAGCCCTGGTGAGGCCCTTGCTCCACGCGTGTGTAGACTTGTGTCCGTGTTTTAACAGAGCATTGCTCCTTTGGGTGTAAGTGCAGAAACGTAGACCTTTCTATGAGGTGGATTTTAGCCCCTTTTAATTAAGTAATAAAAAATCTAAAGCTAGAGGTGGCCATGAGGAATCATCACGTTTCACTGCCTTTCTTAACTCCCCTGCATGAACTAGGACAAGAGGTTACCAGGACACAGCTGTCCGCTGTCCCTCTGACATTTGTATCCTGTGGGATGAAGTAGCCAAAAAAAAAAGGCCAGGTCTCCCCAGCTGGAAATCTCTCCGAGGGTTTCTGGTTAGCATATGCTCAGCTATAGTGCATAGTGAAAGAATACCATGATTTGGCTATTCCAAGCTGCAGTTCCTTCACGTACAAATTAAAGCAGCCCCTGAGTTCCTGAAATGCGCAGCCCAGGGTCAGGGTAATGGAAACAGCGAAGGAATGATGTGGTTCATCTCATTCGTTTCCCAGCTGATGTGAGGCTGCTCCAGTATTTTGTCCCTTCAAGCCTTAAAATATTAGTAGCTGGATTCCTGCATGGATTTTTATGGTCAAGGCTGCATTTCCCAGCTGATGTGTAAATCACTGTGACTTCATTCTAGCTGAGGGAATCAGTGTCCTGCACTAGGTGAGGATCTGGCCTGGCCCGGCCCAGGGTAATGTATTGTCTCTGGGTACACTTTCTTCTGCTAAAGCTGAGACTTGATGGCAGGAGAAATGTAATCTCTAATACTAAATGGTAAACGATTTGGCTTTGCCAGGTTGGAAGAGAGGAGCAAGTTGCACTTCAGCCATGCTTTGGGCGTCCCAGCGTTCACACTGCTTTGGCTGAAATGAAGTGCAACTCGTGAAGTGCAAGGTCCGCATTGCTTTCCTCTGGCTGAGGACTCTGTGGTGTTTGCATTTTTGTCTCCATTCCTCTAGCTGCCTAATACCGTTGCTGATTAAGCTGTTAAATCTCATTTCTCGAAGACGAGGGGATTCAGTCTTCAAACTTTCCACTGACAGGTTTAAGTGAGCTTAACCGAGGAGTTTCCTATGTTTGTCGTTTGGCTATAAATCAAGAAAGTTGGTGGGGAAAGGGGGGTTTCAGCTACCTTTCTGGTAAGAGCTTTCCTCCCTGCTGTCATTTTCACTGGCACCTCGAGGCTTAAAGTTTAGCTAACAGAAAGGTTTGCCCAGTTTCTTTGCAGGCACAAAAGCATTTGCTAGAGCACTGTACTCAGCTGCATGCAGATCTCACACTTTCTAAGATTTCCAGCGACACTGAACTAATGAGAAAGTCTTAGTGACATTGGGATAGGGTGCTGAGTGGTTAGACGCTGGTCCCCATCTTTGCAACTGGGTGCTAAGAGATTAATAGATGTAAGTAGGATTTTATGCTTAGAACAATTTTAAGTATGTAGAAAAGCAATAGAACTCAGATTTTCTTTGCTGAAATGCAAAGGCAGCTGACACATCAGTGCACGTCCAGCCGTTTTGTACGTGTACTCTCATGCACGTGCAGCCTCACTCCTAGCGTGTCTGTTGACCTTCCAATTTTGAATTACCGCTTCATCCTCTTGACATTTCTAGTGTTATGCCCTAGGCAGGACTAGTGCCAGCAAGCAACAGTAGCAAAGGGGCTGCTGACCTGGCACTGATGATGTTGCATCTAAAGGCACTGGTCTAGTCCCAGTTCAGGGCTTGAGCAGTGCCCATAATGCTGGTGGGAAGACCACCCACTGAATCCAGGGGACTCTCGATCGCTCTCAGGCAGCAAAATGAAATCTCAGTCAGAAGTGAGTGCTGTTCCGCTGAGCACCAGTTCTCCATTTCCTAGAGTCAGCTGGACACTGCCACTGACTTCACTAGACTTGTGATCAAGGAGAAGGCCTTTAACAGTGCTAGTTTTTGTTAGCAACATTGTAGAAACTCATTTTTTTTCTTCTCTTCCAATTTTTAGGGGACTCTGCTTTCTCTGGACTGTTTTATGTTTTACCTGGTTCCTGGGATTCACACAGGGAAATTCTGAAGGTAAATTGTACTTGTTGATTGCTTGCCTTTTTTTTTTTTTCCTCTCTTTCTTTTTTTCCTTTACCTTTCAATCAAAGTAAAAGCTGAGGGCTTTTGTATGAGTTTAGGAACATCATCTAATCAATGTCTGAGCCTAATGCGTAGAATTAAATGCTTTTACTGCTGATCATTGCAGTACTGGTGATAGAGATGATGCAGTTAACAGCTGGCAAAAGAACCAGATTTTTACGGGTGACTCTGTGCCCCGTAGGATTTGCAGAAGTGCCCGTCTGCCTCGTGGAAGTGGTGGGAATGAAGCATGGAAGTGGTGGGAATGAAGCACTTAGGTGTATCTGAAAATGTCGCTGGCATCTACCTGCATTTACTGGCACTTAACTGCTTTTAGATAGTGTCTCTTGAGGCCTTGGCGTTAAGAAAATAAACGTCTCTGGCAGATGGGTATTTTCTTGACTTGAATGCAACCCAATCATGCCTGTGTGACCCAGTGCTGGCACGTAGGATGTTGTACATACAGAACTTAAGTGAGTTCTAAAAGTAAAAGGCGAATTCAAGAAAAAGTCCCACAGGGCTTCTTAATAACAGAAATCCCATGTGTGGCTCAAGTAGCCCCTATGCTGCAGGGAGAATATTCTATAGGAGGTGTTTGTATACTCTCACCACGTCTTTACACTCCTCTCTGAGCACCCCCTCCCAGTGCTGCTGTGGGCACAGGACAAAAGGTTGGGGTACAATAGTTGGGGACCCTGCACGAGGAGACAGAAAGCTTCAGAGCTGACGAAGATAAAAGAAATCTGTGTTTACAGCTGATAGTGGGAGCTGAGCGTCTCTGCAACGTCTGTTTGTCAGGGAGCCATCTCGTCTTAAAATAGCAACACCTCTTCCACATGGATGGTTTACTCCGGGTACACGCTGGAACTGAACAGCTTCCTCTATAATAAGTAGACAACAGTAAGTGGACTAGCAGGCTCCAGGTCTCTCCTCTTAGTATCCAAAACATGAAGGAAAAATAGAAAGTTGGTCAATGCTCAGCTGTAAGCCAGCCCATGGAGCCGTTTTTACAGAAAAAAGAAAATACATCCCTGCCATCAGCAATTTTGAAAAATGTAATATTTTCCAAATTCTGCTTCAATGCGAAAGAGGTGAACATCTGGCTGAATTACTTAGTCAAGCAGTTTTCAGAGCAAGTTTTATGTCAGCTCATAAAGAGGCAGAACAAATAATGTGTCTTGGCATCTCTTTTTCAAGTAGACTTTAATATGCTGTTTAGAATTATCTTTATTCGTCATTTTACTCCTGTGATAATTATGGGATGTTGACATCTTTTTTTGGTTGTTACAATCAGTATAAACCAAACTCTCCTGCTTTACTCATACTGCGTTACCTAGGCATGGTAGATATCTCCCCACTTTGTGGGTACTTTCTCTGTGATAAAGGAATTAAAACGTCCTGCTCAGTTTCCTTACAGTGGGAGACAGGCTACTTTTTAGGGTACCCACATCAAAAACTTCTCAGAAGGCAAAGGCTGTAAGTCAGCACCGGTGACTTGAGACCATCTTATTACTCAAGATTTTTAAATATGAGATATACTAAAGCAAATAAGAGCTTATTTAAAGCAAATAAGAGCTTGTTCCTAGATCTGAGTGAGGATGAAATTAGGCCAATGCTTTTGGCTTTTGAAAACACCACAGTTATTGCTATAAGGCTTAGGGGTCTTCCTGCGCACTGGAAAGCCAGGGAGTGCAGAAGGTTACTTTCCCATAAGCATTACAAATCCAGAATATCATGAGTTAGTGAGTTCATCTGATGTGCACTGACTAAGGGTCTGGGCAGTAAATTTTGGAAATGTAATGTTTATTCAAGCTAATTTTGGTTGCGGGCATCAGATCTCAGCTGCTAGAATCCAAAAAGCAGAGATGCGTTTTCTTTTCTGCCTTTTTACTCCTTTCTTCTGTAAAGTTTTTGGTGTGGGGGAAGAGGGAGGGAAAGTAAGAGGGGGGGAAGGAGAGGGCAATAAAACATTTTATCCCCTCTTTCAGACATGATCACATGATTGTTCAGGAATCTCTTGTGCATCTCGCTTCATACTCCGTTAGAAAAGTTTTCCCAGTCCCTCAAATACTGCTACAGGAGTGCTGCAACTGGCTTCAAGGCACCTGGGACCAGGCAGCTCTAAGTGAATGGATTTTTTAAATAATGTATTTTGATGGAAAAACCTACTGAGGAAAAAATTTGAAGGGGAGGAAAAAAAGGCTTTGCTAAAGTTGGAGCTATTTAAAGAAGCCAAAATTACCTTGCATTTTACGTTATTTGATGACATCTCATCATCCTTGGGGATTTGCCCCACCAGCTCAGTGCAGTTGGCATGGGATGGAGAGGCAGACAGACTGGGTGTACAGGAGTTCTGAGCTGTGTGCCTGGACCTGGTGTTGGAAAATCCACATGTATGTCCTGCACTTATGTTTGTTTTAATCGGGCATTGCGTAAGCATCTAGAATTTGGCTCTATCTTAGTGGATTTTGAGGGAGAGGAGAGGTTGGGTTATGCTTTTCTCCTTTTCTTGAGCACTGTCTGATGCAGTTGCTAACGAGGCAGTTGGACTGGTATTTCGAACAGCAGCAGCATCCCCTGAGCAGGGAATCGTCCTTATGTCTCTGCGGTGCAGCTACCAAATGAGTAAGCTCCTGGAGTGTAAAGTATCTCTGTCTTGCAGAGCCACTCCACAGTCTGTCTCTGGGAGAAAACCTAAAAATACATCTAGAAATTGGAAGCTGAAGTCTAGCTCCCAGTTTAAGCAGTAAACTTATTTCCTTAGGGCTAAATCTTGATGCCTTTGAAGTCTGTGGCAAGGGTTCCGCTTGACTTCACTAGAGACAGTCTTTGGCCTTTACTGTTTCATGGGCTCTGGAAGTGATCCAGTCTGAAGATACTGCTGTGCTTCTTCCATTCAACACAGAGAGGGGAAGGCTCTACCTTTGCTGTGCTGAGGGACATCCTCTTTGGGCAATACGGCATAAAGATGGTGGGAAACCAAGATTTCTTAATATGGGAGAAGTACCGTTATTAACATTTGCACATGCTGTGCAATAAATTATCCCCTCTGCATAGAGAGGGAAAATTTCCATCCCCTTTCATGTCTGACACATCTTCTCCAGGGTAGTCTCTGCTAGAGAATGACTAAAGCTGCCTTAAAAAAGGGAGATGGGAATAAAGCTGATCTCAGACAAAGTAAATATTGATTGACTTGTTCTTGCATACAAAAAAGGCCAAGATTTTTGCCAAAGTCAAGGAACAGAGCTTTTCTCTCTATTATCCTCCTTTCCTGGCCAGAGATGTTACAGGCCTCAGACTGGCTTGAGTCTACAGCCCTCCTGGCCAATGCTGAGGAACTCTTTTGAGTGCCAGTTCTCCAAATGTTGAGAACTGCGTTGAATATTTAATAGTTAAGGGTGAAGGAGGCCAAATTCCAAGGCCCATTTAGAAAAGCATCTGTGTTTTTTTTTCTTTTTGTCTGAACAAGCTTTGCTTTGCTTTTTCTTTTAATCTAGGAAAACTGCAATCCCCTGATGTTAGCTGATGCGCAGCCATGATTGGCACTGCTGCATTTCTGGTTGTTAAATTCTGACCTTGCGAGATCAGCATTTGGATTAAATAGCCAAAGCAAGCAGCCTGCCTGGCCTAGCTTCTCCAATGAGCAGTTAAATAGGTTGGTTAGCAGGCCTTTGAATAATGGGGATTGCATTTGGGCAGGGAAGAGGGAAGGAAATACTATTCTCCTCGCTCATTTTCAACAGTTGTAGTGTCATGGCAATCGTTACAGGCTTACTTTTAACTGTCTTTACCATGTGTTAAACATCTTCTTTAGACCAAATAGTAGAGCAAGCAAGCTTTTGGGCACGCGAGCCCCTTGTTCGGGTCTGGACACATTTACCTTTGTAGCTCTTTCCACATAGACCTGAGTGTCTTCCCCAGCTAAGTAGTTCAGCTGAAGTTGCAGCCAGCTGGCTCCAGTTTGTGTTGCTGTTGCCTGTGAATCTGCCTTGGACTCTGAGCTGTTTGTGCCTCCTATCAGACCATGGGGCAAGAAACCAGAGGGTTTGGCTTGCCTGTCCTTTGCAGGCTTCTCCAGGAGTCAGGAGAGAGGGATAGGTGCCTCCAGACAGCACTCCCATCCTCTCTTAAACAAGGCACCCAACTCCTAGGTGACTAAGGCTAGAGGCAAGCCCTACGTCTACTACTCAGCGAGGGCCATAACTAAATTCTCAGCTCTCTGCAAACCAGGTCTGGTTCCTCCTACTTAGGAAAATAATGTAAAGCTGATCTCCTGGGGGAAAAAGTGCTGCTGTTGAGAACCTTAAGCAGTTCAGTGAAATCTAGGTGCAATTTTTTCATGCTGGGAGGCACCTTCACTTCCCTAAACTCTTCAGAGTCTCAAAGATCAAAAGCGGCTATTTTCTAATCTGGAAAGAGACAGATACGAGGCTTTTGCTCCCTTTGAAAGGTCTATTCCTTGCCTTCTGGGGATATAAAATTTTGCAATCCCAGCTCAGTCTGTTGTTCAAAATTCCTCTCCAGCTGTGTGGTCAGTACTCAGAATTAAATCCCAAAGAAATGGAGTATTGGTACTCAGTGGGAAATTTCCTTGTGGTGAGGTCAGCTCCCTCCAGAACATCTGGAGCTGGTCCCTAGTGGGACAGGACAGAGCCGGATGCACCCTGGAGCTGATGCATTTTTGGGAATTGCTGATTACTCAGTTGAGTGTGCACTTGCTCCTGACACTAAGTGCAGGAGGAAAAAGCTGAGTGCTCTGTATTCTGATTATTTGAACACACTTGTGTCAGATGATGATTGTGCTTTCCTGTAACCTGTCTCCCTTTTGCACTGACTGACTTGGCCCCTTGACCACTTCGATCCCTCTTCTGTGGATCCAGCCCTTGGGTTGCCTGACAACTCGTATTTTCTCTGTGCTTCCTTTTCAGATGTGGATGTTCTTCAAAAACTGGGCCTGGCAGGGAAGAAGCCATCGAGTGGTTGGTCCTTGTCACGTGCAGTTCCTCAGGGGGTCATTCCTTTCAAATCGGGGGTCATCTTCACTCAGCGAGCACGTATCGAAGCACCCGTCAGCACCATCTTCCCCACAGGCTCCAACACTGACCTGGTCCTGGTGCTGAGCCTGTGCTCCCACCGTATCAACAATGCTTTTCTCTTTGCCGTCAAGAGTAAAAAGAAAAAACTGCAGTTGGGGGTCCAGTTTGTGCCTGGAAAGATTATAGTGTATGTGGGCCACAAGCGCTCTGTATATTTTGATTACAATGTCCATGATGGCCAGTGGCACAATATGGCCATCAATATCCGAGGCCAGACAGTCACTTTATTTACTTCTTGTGGGAAGCGCAGAGTACATGCAGATTTGCATTTTAAAAAGGACGAGGCATTGGATCCACATGGGTCTTTCCTCTTTGGGAAGATGAACCAGCACTCCGTGCAGTTCGAAGGAGCCATCTGCCAGTTCGATATTTATCCTTCCGCCAAGGCAGCTCATCATTACTGTAAATACCTGAAAAAACAGTGCAGGCAAGCAGATACCTACCGGCCAAACCTGCCCCCCCTCATCCCAGTCCTGCCAAGGGATCCCAATGCCTCCCCGAGTACCCCACAGCACGTGGAGCCCTCGCTTCAGGGTCTGAAAAACCTGACCACTGCGACCCCATCCTTGGAGCTTGGCAGGGTCACTGCACCCTTAAAGACTCAGGGTTCAGGTGCAACAACCATCCCATCGGTCTCATCCACACTGCCACTGCCAAGACTGACAAACAAAGCCACGAAGGTCGCGGTGGCACCATCTCCTGTTTCGTTGAGTACTGAAACTCGGCCGCCCACCCATTCGCGCTCTCCGGTGACAGCGGCGACCCTCAGGGTATCTCATCCAACTCCCAGCGCACGCATGGAGAAAACTCCCCTTCCCACTGCCAAAAAGGCCCTGCCTACAAGCCAGAGCCCTGCTACATCCAAGGAAGGCAGGAAGGAATCCGAGCAAGAGACCAAAAACAAGATCAACCAAAAACCAACCATTGAGCCCTCTGAAACAGCCAGTACTGTAAAGCCAATGAGAAGGATGACTGATAACACAACCAGCAATGTCCACTTTGTGACCCTAAAACAAACCCCTCAGAAGCCAAACAATGGGCCTGTTCCAAAGAAGCATGTGCCACCCCCCGCCAGGAAAGCAGATCCTAGTGATGTCCCTCTGGTGTACCCCAAACCACCTCTGGGGTCTGCTCGTCCCGTTACCAGAGCCAGAGCACAGGTCTTCAACCTCACAACCCCAGCTGCAACAGATGGGTATCAAATCTTTGATCCCCTCGGACCCACTCCATTTCCATTGTTACTGGGATATCCAGGAGCGAAAGGAGAGAGAGGACCCCAGGTAAGTTCAGACTTATAATGATAACTATTGCTGTTGAAATTCAGCTGACTGGTTGGCAAAACATAACCTGCAAGGATTTCTATAATGTTTAGTGGAATTTGGCGCCTTGAAGTGGAAGGCAAGCGCTGTTACTTTTCTGAAAAATCACAATTTTAGTGTATACCCCAGTGTAAACTGTAGAGCTCTGTGATGGTGGATACCCCTTAAAAGTTTGTGATTAAAGTTGTTGGTCAATGTTAGTTTAAAAAAAAGAAAAAAGGAAAAAATCCCAAACCCATACTGGCAGTTGGGATCTTTTGCTGGTTCAGATTTGGATGACCAGGTTAGGACTCTGCTCCACACTCTTGGTTTTACTCCAGGGTCAAGGGGACAGATTTGTAGGGTACTTTCCAAAAAAGAAAAAAAAATAGGTACCTCAAAATGCACCACAAAATAACTTTTTCTTAACCTTGGTGGTTAACTTACTTTGTACTTAAAATTCATATTTCCAGAAAAGTGCCCTGTTTCAGCAAATGCAAGTACAGAGATTGCTTCAGGATTTTTTAAACAAATCCTCCTCCACTTTTATGGTGTAATTTACTTTTTTATTTCTCATAGCCCACACTTGCTTAAAATGTGCAAAGAGTTTCCTTTATAAATTTAACTACTGCATTCCACACACAATAACTGCTCTCAGGTTGTATATCTTGGCCATCAGAAAAGTATACATACATTTTGTAATGCTAAAAGCAGTCAGGCCATGCTAATTATCTGCTAACTTTTTTTTTTTTTTTAATGCAAGTATGCTAACAGGATCTTTAAACTGGCCAACTTTCAGGAGGATTTGGTGTTCCAGCCCAAGCCTTTTGCTGTATTGTATATGTGAAAGAGGGGTTGTACATGTAAAATAAGTTTCTCCCAGACAGAGCCTGTGGTTGCCAAGTTCCAGCCTAGAGCAAATTTTTACAGCTGACTTCTTAAAATAGTGAAAGAAGGGTTTACAATGGAAAAATTGAGGCTAGCTTAAGGAACACTATCAACGGCGCTTCAGTCCGCAGATGTGCTCCTCATTGTTGCAATAACACCTAAAAACGAAAGGGTCATGTTTTGCAGGCATTCAAAGTGTACTTACCTTTAAGGTTTGCATTTCACACCTTTCCCATGTTGATTTTTCTCCTTGTAATTTGAGTGGGGAGTTACTTGGGGGTTTGGTTTTTTCAAAGGTTCCCGTCACTGCCCAGATGCGAAGGATGCTGCCCTAGGCTCTGGGATGCTGTGTGGCTGGGCAGCCCTGGGCTCCTGCTGCTTTGACTCTTTTGTCTCCTCTAACTTCATAGATACGGACACACACCCCTGGTCTAGTCTTTGCACTTGGAAAAGTTCTGCAAAGTCTCTGAGTAGACAGAATGAGCTTCAGCAGTTTTATCTTTGGCTCTCTGCTTTTAAGCAGTCTCCTGTGTTTTGTGGAGAGTCATTTCAGGCATATTTCCAAGAGCAGAAATTCAGACAATTGTGAAACTTTTCTCTTAAAACATTACTTACCTTACTACCTGGTAAATGCGTGGCCTGTTCTGAGCCCAGGGAAATCCTGGACTTTTCCACCTTCTTGCCCTAAAAGCATTATGAAGGTGACCGGGCTCCAAGTCCCCACTTCCCCCTGCAATTTAAAGAGCTTATTATTAAATTGGAGTGGAAAATCCCTCTCAGCTTGTGAATCATAGCAAACAAACTGATTCAGGCCATGGAGAGGCGAGAGAAGAGATGGCAGGATTTTTCCATCTGGTCTGAGAACAACTAGAGTCCTGAATCGAGGGAAGGGAGAACATCTTGAGTCTCTGTCTGGCCTTACCCTCTGACTGCTGGAAACAAAGTCGGCATTAGGGAGGGGAAGGGTATGGCTCTGCTGGAGCTGGCTGCTGTGCGGTGTTTGATCGCTCCTGTGACTCACTCGGAGATCTCTGTACAATACTTCGTTGAGTATCTCTGACGTGGGAAGAGAAAGAGGAGAAAGGAGCGGAATCGAGATGACATGTTGAGAAATTAATGTAGCATTTATATGGCCAGACGAGCGTGTTTCAGAACAAGTGCTGATAAATGCTTCGTGGTTGAGTAATTACCTGGCACTATCCTCACGTTATTGGGCAGACATTTCTGATGAGGTCAGTACAGCCCTTCCTGGTCTGGCGCACGATATCTCAGCCCGCCAGGGAGCCTGCGCTCTGGATTGAGCAGGTTATGGGCTGGGAACTGGCATCGGGATGCATGGAGTCTGGCCCGATGGTGGAAGGGTAAGAGTCAGCGAGTTAGTTTGCCCGCTTGCGTTACCTGATACAAGGTCTCTTCAAGAAGACTGTCGCTCTGGGCAGGGAAGGGTGGGTGCAAATCCGCCTTCTGCCTTTTCAGCGAGGTTTTGGGCTACCTTGGAAATGATCAGTGTGCGCGGGCAGACTGGCAGCCAGCTGTTCCCTGCCTGTCCCCACCCCAGAAGAGGGGTCTGGGGGTCTACAAGGACAGTTTTTCTTTTGGGTGCTTTCCTCCTCCCAACACTAAAGGGTGGTTAAAGGAGAAGACAAGCACTGCCCCCAAGGGACTAATGCTTGCTAGGCTCCTCCAGGGGAGGACGAGACAGCAGGCAGGTAACGTGGGGAACAGAAAGGGACTGGGAAAAACTGGCGTTGTCACCTTTGTGTGCTGGGAAGGTGGCCTGGGATCTTCTCCCACCTTAGCGGGGGGCTAAGAGGCCCCTGGAGTCCCAGTCCCGCACGGCCTGAGGCTGGGTCAGTTCAGAGTTAGTTCTGGCTCCCAGCCTTGCTTAGGTGAAATATCGCCCTGAAAGGAGAGACTTGCCGTGACCTGGGGGGGTGAATGGAGCCCAGGCGGAGATTGGGGTACTGGTTTTCTCTCTCTTCCCTCTTTGCTGCGCACAGGCTCAGGACGCAGCCCTTACAGCCCCGGATGCTCCACAGGCTTTCCAGCTAGTGAGGAGAATCCTGATCATCCCTAAGTCAGAGTGTGAACGATAGCCAGGGTGTGAGGCTGGATTAATCAGCAGTGTGTGGTCTCTGCTCAATTCTGGCTGTTTGAGTAGTGCAAAAATGTAGTATAATCTCAGCTGTGCACAGGGCCCCTTCCCCACAGCTGGGGAGGTATCCACCTCGTTAGAGGAATACAAGCAGTGGGCTAAAAGAATATCTTCACCTAGCAATAAAAGGCAGCATCCTCTGTGGTTTGATCTGGGCAGCTGTCCTAAAAGACCACCGCACTGCAGTGCAACAGGAAATGAAGACACTGTCCCACATGCAATTAATGGCAGAGCATTAATTCTTCAGGAATGTTGGGTTTCCTGGGCGGCTAAAAGAGGGAGGATAATGTGCTCTTAAAAAAGAAAAAATTGCTTGGGAACCATTAATAACCGCAAGCATTTGGGATCTCTGCTCTAAATCTCTTCTGGAGATGAGGAAAATAGCAAAAAAAAAAAAAAAAAAGAAAGAAAAAGAAAAAAAAAGAAAAAAAGAAAAAAGAAAGAAAGAAAAAACCACCCAAACATCATGCTAAGTCAGGAACGCAGCACTGACTCAGCAGCTGGCACACTTTCCTCTGAATCATCCCCGCGGCTTCCCGCAGCACCTCGGCAGAGCCTGGCGTGAGCTCTCGCCTCCCCGCGCGGGGCCGGGCAGGTACTCTGCTTAGCTTTCAGGACGACGTGAACCCAGCGCATGGCTGCTTGGACAGCCCCAGAAGAAAAATAATCTTCCGTTGACAGGGTGTCAAGCCCGCGAGCCCCCGCGAGGCCGTGAAGCGATAGATGTTTTGAACTCTTTGGTGGACGACGTTTCGCTTGCTCCCTGGGATTTTGTTTATACCAGCAGCGGATTTGCTGGGGGGAAGTTTAGGGGGGCTGCAGCCCCCTCTCCTGCCCATCAGCACTGCCCACCATGGTATACGTGCTCTGTGCTGCGTGTTAGAGACCCCGGCCCTGCTGCAGCCCTGGGCTGGCCGGGGTATATACGGTGTACACCAAGTGGGCCTTTCTACTCCTATACAATAAGGCTGTAATTCTGCACGTTTCTGCCCACCACAAGCAAAAAGCCCCAAATTGCCTCTAGTGATAAACCTCAGAGGGTTATTTTAGAACAAGGAGATCCCACCTGATGCTGAAACGTGCAGAGGAGCAGAGTGTGATCGCCCGAGCTAAGAGGCGACCAGAGGTGCAGGGAGGGAGGGAGCGTGTCACGAACGCCTCCCCGAGCATCCGAGTCGGAAGAGTCGCCGGGTAAGAGCGCAGCTGGCGGCACAAGTTTCCCTCTGCTGTGGGCACTGCGCAGCCAGGAGCCCCAGGTTCGAACCCTGGTGGCGGCATCCCAGCCAGAGGTGTGGCCTTGTTCTGGCAGGCAGCACTGTTTTAAAGGCAGATGTGTTTCGGAGTGCGTTCGCAGTCTAGACTGCTCCAGCTGCCATCTTCTGAATGACCAGTTTTTCTTGGAGCCCAGCTCCTCTTATAAAGAAACAAACCTTGCCAATTTAGTCAGTGGGTAAGGCAGAAAGAGGTGATTGGGAACACTGATAAAATATGAAGTGCCTATTTCCAGTCCTCCTTCTACCACAAAAGGCTACTCAGGCTGACAATGTATGACAAATTCAGGAACCCATGATGTGTTTGCATGTCTTTTAATGAATGAGTCATGTGTTTTTTTTTTAAAAAAAAAAAAAGCGCACTTTGTATAATACATGGGAAAAATTTTAGCTTCACTCACATGGTTGGGTCACAAATTTTTGCTAATTTAATCAGCGCTCTCCCCAAAGGGAAATTTTGTCATAGGCAAATGATTAAGCATCACAGAGCTCTATTTGCATAAAATGAGGTTTATTTTGAGGAGCAGTAGTTGCAAGTGTCAGTGGGGTGAGTGTGCTGGGACGAATGTAGGGATGTATTTGTATAAATATACATACTTAAATCTATAAAAATAGAAAAAGAATGATGTAATATGGGATCCCTTTATTTCTTCACACTCCTTCTGACTTCCTTCCGTTGTCTGAGCATGTCTGAGAGTCTGAAGTATCTCACACAGAGACTGTTCCTGAAATGTCTCTGTAAAAAAAAAAAGCTGCTTTCAGCAAGCAGCAATGCTAATATTTTACCATCTACTATACTGTCATGATATTAGAAACCCAATTGTGACAAGGACTTTACTATGATAGGTGTTGTACAGACTCAAAATAAATATCTGTGTACTGCAGAGATTGTTGTGAGTCTGGCTTTTCACCAACATCTTGGTTTCTATCAGAATTTTGAGGGTTTTTTCTCCTTAGCCTGGTTAAAACCGTGATGTATCCAAATTTAAATCTGCGTTGGAGGAGAGAGTAACTCAAGTGTTGGATTTTTTTCCCAAACCTCCAGATTTGTTTTAGGCCTTGGTTCAAGTGAGGTTTACATTTAGTTCCTCTCTGCCTCTCTGAGAAGTGCCCAGCAAGGACAGCCGTCCTTGTTGTTGCTGATATCAGAGGTAAGGTAGGGTTGGTTTGTCCTTTGTGGATGAGCTCTTCTACTTGTCTTCCATTCTGCTGAGCCGGGGAACGTTAGTTCTAGCGCTTTCCCTGAAGCCAACCAGTCCCTCCATGCTGGTGCTTTTCAGAGCTTCAGGGCTAAATGGTGAGTCTGTAACAGTAGTCGTTGCATTTGAGATATGCCTCCTCTGCCTGCAGGAGGACAAAACACAGATTCTCTGTTTGCAGGTAACGTCACTGCTTAAAATTTGGTGCCAATGCAGGGAGAAGCTTTCGATATGTTTTTCTGAACTCACTTTTAAGATGTCCATTAGCCTCTGAGAAAGAGGAATGTTCCCTCATCGGTCCTTTCAGTGTTTTGCAAACTGCAGCCTGCCCACCTCTGAAATGCAGCCATTTCTGGGATAAAGGTTAACGAACAGTGCCTCTAAGCAGGGAGAGGGAAGGGAGAGGTATGTTGGAGAGATCCTAAAATATAGGTGTGATAGTCTAACAGTGGAGTTGCACTGGAACATGAGCTAAATGGTGCACTGGGTGATCGTTCGCCTATTTACTGCTAGGCTGACCGCTTGCCCCTGGGGATATGATTACAGGACTGTTTGGCTCTCTGCGAAATTTGATTCACTAATGATTCAAAAGGAAGAGACTCATTTCCCAAATCACCAGCACCAATTTCTGTGCCGATTGTTTTCCTTGAAGTCTTCCCTGAACAGGCTCAACCTTGCCCAGGATTTGAGATCTGAAAACACCTTAGCTCCCAGTGGTATTGCTGTAGGCAGAGGAAGCAGTGTGAGGAGCGTAGCGATGTGGGAGAGGCATAAACTAGCTAATCTCGGCAACAAGAGGAAACGGTGAGATTTCTCTTGTCCTCAGGGTCCAATGTATTTCCCTTTCAGAGAACCTAGTTTAATTCTCCATTTGCAACTTGAAGCTCAAGAAGCTAGGAAAAAAAGTCCCTTTTGCGCCAGAAAGTTTCCCAGAAGCAGCTTAGAATAAATCCTATAATCATTTGGTGGGATCAGTCATCGTTGCTAATGCTACCGTGGGAAACTGAGAAGGGTTAAACTTTCATGTGGCTGCCATTAGTTGTTTCACAGAACTGTTCAGGCTGGTTAACAGTTCTACTGTTTGGCCTGAGAAAAGAGAGTAGTTGTTCTGCCACATTTCTCCTTGATTCTCTGATTTTGCTTCATGTGATAACAGGGTGTGTGTTCTCCTCCATCAGTTTGCAGAAAGGAGTAGGCAAGAAGCCAGCAACTCAGGAATCAAAATGCTGGGAATGGTGGTTGCTGCAGTCAACTGTCAGCTTTGCAGAGCTCTCCAGGCGTCCATGCGGTGGGAGGGCAGGAGCAGAGCAGCGTTATCTTCCTCCAGCTGCCAGGAAGAGGAAACCCTCCTGCCTCTTGGAGCACTTCCTACTGCTCACAATAGACTTCCCCGGGGATGCTCTAAAGGTTGCAATGGAAAGGTCCATGCAGGCTCTGTTTGATTAAGTTAACTCTTCCATGAGGGGTGCAGATGGACGTGTCTCTGAGCATAGGGACGGCCTGGGCAATACCTGCAGACAGGTTCTGGAGGCTTGCTGCGTGGTGGCTCTGTTGAGAAGCATCTTTTCTCCATGACCTGGAGCCTTACATTTCAAGTGGGACTGTGTCCATCATCCTTAAGTAGCTGGGCCCTGATCCAGCCTTATTCTTCTCTGACTGCCTCTGCGGATGTGCTTTTCTCTTGGTGTCTATGTCAGTATTGCTCTCTCTGGTCAAAGCCAGTTGTCTGATGTGGGCCGCCTCTTTGAAAACTTGAGCTGGATGATATAGAGGCATACAGGCATGAGGAGAAGTGAGTCACTAAAACGGCCCAATAGACATCCGGTCCGAGCACACGACCAAGTAACGGTGTGGGAAGCTAGAATGTGGCCTTGCAGTGCATCATGTTTCACAACTGCCCATGTTTACCCGGTTACCCCAGTGTCACAAGAGTCATCTTGAATTCCCTTCTGCTTATCTATGGTCATGCTCTTGCACTATGCATGGCTCCGTGGAGGAGCCACTCATCCTGCAGCCGGCTTGTTTCTGTTCCCCTTCAGGAGAGGAAGAAAAGATTTGTTACATGCTGCTGTTTCTGTGCTGTCTCAGCCAAAATGCCTTTCTCTAACTCCATATCCCCACTCCAGTGCAGGTATTAACTCTCTCCTTATTTTTATGTTAGCTTCAGTTAACAGCCCACGTTTTTGGAGAACATTAGTACTCAAGTGTCCAAGTGCAATTGCAGCTGCTGTTAGCAGGAAGGTGGAAAAGGTCACCTCAAGTTTTGTACGCCAGGAACGCCATTCTGAAGAGACGGCTGCCTCTTCCCTTTGCTTCTTCTTTTAGGGGTAAATAGGGATGTCTTTTAATGGAAAAGAGGTCAAGGATTTGAATTTGTCTTTGGTTAACTCCATTAACCATCACTACATCGGTTGCATTAGATTCATGTTTTGATAGCTATCTTCCCAACTAAAAGGGCAAAGGGATTTTTTTTAATAAAAGCTTAGATTCTGGAGCACACTTATCTGCCAGGCTTTAAAAAAATACTACAGTTATGTATGTGTCTGTTTGCACAGCTGCATAATTGCATTATGCATGGGGCCCTGAGCTGGCACAGTGGCAGGTTAAAACGATGTGTGTGTTGTTAAAATGAAGGCTAGCTGCATCACCACAGATTGTTAATACAAGGACCGGTAATACCATGTTAGCCAGCAACAGGCAACTTGCAAAGAGGTTGGATAAAAGTGTCTCAGCCGATAGAGACTGGGCTAGAAATTGCCCAGAACTGGGAGCAGGCAGTGCTGGGTGGTAGCAGTGAGTGATACAGTAGCTGTCTGGGTGCACCAGCGTGGGGGATGAGTTCCGACCCTTTTAAAACAATCATTTTCTTGTCATCTTTACTATAAACGGAAATAATGTCAGAAAGACGTGTTCCGATTCATTTGATGTGCTGTCAAATTAGTAGCACGGATAGGGTGACCCTGGCTGTTGCTTGCTTCTCCCCCTGACTATTTCCTATTGTGCCAAGGTTCGGTTGGATATCTTTTAAAAGATCTCTTTTATATCAATTAATTTGTTGCTCATCTGCTGTATAGGAGGGCCAGTAACGTGAGGGAGTGCTTATTCACCAGTTATCTGTATGGTTCAGCCAGGTTTTCTCTGTTTGAAATCTTATCCTGGGGATGAGATTTAGGGTAGGGATCTCCAGGGTTTATTTTAGTTACTAAATCACGCACTTGGCAACTCCTGAAAACTATGCTAGAGGTGATGAACTTTTAGCTCTTCCTCTGGGCCAGTAACGCTCTGCAGCATCTAAGCGGTTCGGCCAGGCAATGCTTCAGCCTCGCAGTGGGCTCACTCGCCCTGCGAGACCCACCTGCCTTCCCTGCGGAGCGCCACTCCTGGGAAGAGCTCCCCGGACCGCTGCATGGTCAGAGAGTTTGGGCTGCCTTCCAGACATCCTTCGTCTGCTGCTCTAGATCTCTCTCTCCTTGCAAGAAATGAAAACCCATCTTTTGTAACAAGCTACTAGAATATAAATCCTCTGGGAGACACGTTAATTAACAGTTATTCTTGTCAGACATGTTTGGCTTGAGGGGGGAAAAAAGCTTTGAGGAGTTATTAGGAGTTGCAAGTGGCTCTCTGGAAATTTGAATTCTCCAGTCCATTGAAAAAATGAATAAATAATTGAATAAATTCAAAGGAGTTCAAACCTCATTGGTTAAGTATTTTTCCCTAATCTGTTTCAGATCAGGGCACAGCTGGGTGCCTGATATCTCCACTTCGTTCTCACCTTCTTCCAAGAAGCCCTGCTACTCTGACATGTCTGAGTTGACCTCCCCTATATTGTAGAGCCATACTTAAGAATTTCCAACGTTGACACCAATTTTATTACGTTTTATAACACCCTGCTTTAAAATATGAAGTGCTGGGATGTGATTATGTTACAACTCATATAGTGACCTACACTACTAAGAACTGTGCTTCCTCAGCTGGTATATATTACAACACACAATGTTCCTCCCTCGCCAAGGTGCTAACACGTTACTTCTGTTGTGTGTGAGCAAATAGCAGGAAAATCTGAAGCTGAGACAGTTGTGTTACCCCTGTGTTACAGCACAGGTCCAGGAAGCTGGAAGTGTGAAACCCAGCTGTGATCACAGGAATGCAGTGCACAGCAAGATGATGTGAACACTCTGTCTCTGGTCTATGGAAATAAATGGTGCTGCAAATGTTATCGTGCGTGGCTTTTATACCTTTACGGCAGTAACGTAAGCTGAAGGGAAATTCTGGCCTTTGTGTTATAACTGACCCTTCTCCCCAGGTCTTCAAACAGTTGTGTTATGGGTTTCTCTGAAACACTGTCAACACCATCCTGTTGTAGAACTGTCAATAATACTTTTCTTTTTCCCCCTAGGGTCCACCAGGACTACCGGGCTTACCAGGACCACCTGGCAAGAGAGGATCCCGAGTAAGTGGTTTAAAAATGTCTCTCCATCTCTGCCTGCATCCACCTGTCCTGCTGCTGGTGTCTGGTCTTAGGGCCATCACTGAGTAGTGCTTGCTTCAAGCCCAGCTGTTGATGTTTGGCCTTCCTCCTTTCTCTCATTCCCTGTTGAAGGTTTTTAGGACACCACACTTCAGTGATTTACAATCTCTCCAAGCCAAGGTTTGGCATCAGCAAAGGCTGGAGATGAATGTTTCAGAATGGCTGTCAGTAAGATGAGCTCTGTCTCTCTCACCATTTTGTGTCTGGCATCCACTCCTTGCAGGCCTGGTGCTGATATTGGCTTTGGCTGCTTTCCTCTCTATCTTTCCGTCTCCCCGGCTTCCAAAAATTGTTTCCTTTGAGGTCTTTCACTGTCACTGTGCCTTCACTAGTGGGACTGAGGTCTTGGACCTTGGACTGGGACCATAGGCTCCTCATACAAAGATGAACTACTGTGTTTCCCAAACTGAGACCTGCTCTCTGACTCATTTTCAGGCTCTACAACAAAATTCCTGAACTGTTCCTCAATATCCATTGCAAATTCCTGAATTTCTTCCTTCTATACTAAATTCTGATGCAGATTTTTGAACATTGGGTGTAATGCTGAGGAAATAGCTGGCGTTGAGTGCTTCTGCTAGCTGTGTTATGTGAGAAAGGCTTTCCGCATTGGCCCAGCTACAAAAGCAGTCTCTCAAAACAGGGCTACACCCTGTACCTGGATACGTTTAACTCTTGGCACCGTTTTCGTGGTAGCAAGGTGCTGTTGCACAGGGTATGGTCATGAAGCCCGTTTCCTGTGCGCTGAACTGTTGTGGGCTGGGAAGCAAAAGATGCAAGTGTCTGAGGCTGGAAGGAATGAAAATTTGGAACTGTGATCCGGGCAGCATCCTGGACTGGCAACAGAGGGAGATTTGCTCACACATGTTTGGCAAAAACTCAACCCCATGTAATGTCTTTAAAGAAAGACCAAAAAGCTAAGCTTTAGAAGACTGGGTGTTCCCAAAAGATACTTGTTACAGTTCTGTGAGCTCTTGCAGTAACTGGTAAAGATAAATGCACCTTCTTTCTATACCAGTAAACCTAAAAGGTCTGCAGGACCCCCTGCAGAATGGGCGTGGATATCAACAGGCTCGAATACTGCTTTGGGCCATCAGTATAAGGCATTAGATAGCATCTGGCTCAGGTGTGTTTTATGGATAAGATAATTCATTCCACATCTGGATATTTTCCTCAGTGAAACAGCAGCAACTCGGCACAACTGACCATACAGCTCTGATGTCTTCTGTTGACAAATATCTAAGGAGCAACCACCTGAGCAAATTGACTGGAACTTGCTATTCCTATAAAGTCCCTATTAAGGCTAGAAGTTTACTTTTTACACAGTTCATTTCGTTCACAGTGAGTGTTTGGTGTTACTTCTTGCGGTCTTGAGGTATGCAATCTAGACTCCATGGATGGAGATCCCCACTGCATCCCCTGCCTGCCATGTCTCTCTTTCAACTCTACATCCAAATTCCACTACCTATAAAAACTTACTTTTTTTTTACTAGAAGAAAAAAAAAAAAAAAAAGCATTGTGGTACCCGTGTCATAACTCTTTCTGTGTTCTTGCCTAGCTGTGGCATGCTCCGTTCTATGTTGAAGAAGATCCCTTGAAGGATAATGAGCAGGGAAGGATTTCTGAGTTCAGTCCCCACCAGAGGTGCTGAGAATCAGCCCAGAAAAGAGTTTCCAGTTAGGAAGTGCTCAGCACAGCTGAGCCTGACTTGGCGCAGACCTCTGCAAAGAGACTGTGCTAATTCTGGGAGGGGGCAAAAGGATTGCTTCGTAAATGTCTGGCCTGGAGCCCTAGAGACAAAACTGCTCTGTGCATATGTTGTTTTGACTTTGCAACATGTTTCTAGTATTTTTTCTTGTGACTCTTGAGGCTTTAAGGATTTAACTGCGAGGAAGAAGAGCTGCCAGAAACTAAGACAGCTTAGGGGAATTTTTGTATCTTTTGCTTTTGTTGTGCATGATCCATGTAAAGATAAGTGTGCGACATGGTAGAGGGTATGTTCTACCACCGCTTAACTGATCCTCAAAGAAAGGAGCTGTGCAGTCCTTGCACCAGTGCCAGCTTGGACCTTCTAAGGAGAGGTGAACTTTGCATGCAACTTTGCAATGCTAGATGCTGGGGGAAAGGAAGGGTTTCTTCTTGTTACCAGTGCAATTTATGACCTAAAGCAGGAGACATAATTGCCCTGGTTCTCGCTTGCATAATTTCTACATTATTAATGCTTATACAATTACTTGGCTCGCTTGAAAATCTAACCATAGCATTTGACTCTTGACCTTCTGGAGCTGTGAAGTCCACGAAGTGGCTCTCTTGTTGATGTAGCGCAGTATTTCCACTCCTTGAATTCTGTGTTGCTGCTGTTGTACTTCCCTTTCTCCCCGAATATTGGAAAGAGTAAAATGAAAGCTCAGATCAGCTTTTGCTCTGAGGGTGAGATCATGGTCAGTGACAGTTTATAAGAAGAGCTGGCTGATCTCATGATTCTGTCTCCTTGTTTCCAGCAGATAAACATCTCTAGACTTAACTTGCCTGCACAGTCTGGATGTTGCTCTTCCATGTAAGCAAATGCCCCTGGTTTATAATAGCAAATGCTGGTCTTTATAATGGCATGAAAAGGATTGGGTTCAGGACACATTTCAGCATTAAAATGCAATCCAGTGTAGAGAAGCTGAGTGGACAGTGGCAGTATTCTTGAAAATGACATTTCATTGACTTTTGAAAGCTGACCTTCATTTTTAGGCAAGTGGAATTAATTGTACACCCGATAACTCAGCATCAGATACCGCTGAGAGAGATGAAGATGTGAAGGCAAAGATGAAAGCGAGGTATTTTGTGTTCTCTTTACTCCGTTAGAGACTCCAAGGAAAAGCAGTGAAAGTGTTGTAACACTGATCACTGGAAATTATAGCTAATGACATTTTTTCAGATGCTCTGCTAACCTGTATAGATACAACTGCATAGCTTATGGTTTTTTTTACAGGAAAGCTTTTTCTCTAGCTATAGACAACTAGACCTTCTTCCGCTTTTGTGTTTGTATTAAAGAACCTGAGGAATAAAGAAGAAATCTATCCGCACTGCTGCTGCTCAAAGGAGCACTTGGTGCACTGGCAAGTGTCTGTATGAGATCTGAGGTGCCCCTTGAAGGGAATGGCTGTTCTAGCAGCACGAGGTTTACTCAAGCTTGTGTGATGTGAGAGCACTTTGCCAGACAGGCCCTGGGACAGCTATTCTGCAGTTGCACATGCGGCGCTCGGGCGTGCGCTCAGCAACCCGAGCAGAGCAGTTCGGTTTAGATGACGCGTTTTGCACTTCAGCGCAGAAGGGTTTTCGGCTGATGACCTTTACATTTTTTCAAACGTCACGGTTTAGTGGGGTGGCGGTGGCAGAGGCTGGGTTTCTGCTAGCAGGGCTGTGCTAACAAGCTGTACAAGCAACTGTCAACAAAGGGCTCCCAGCGGAGCAATAACTCCTGCACCACTGCAGCTTTCTCCTGCCTCACCCAGGACTCGGTCGGCCGCGCTCGCAGGGCTGTCTGCATGAGGGGCTCTTGCCAGCACATCTGTGTCGATCACAAACTGGGTCTCCCTGCATTCCTCACTGATCTAGTGAGACCAGCAACATACCCAGGATTTAATAAGGTTTGCAGAAAAGTACAGTGAGCTATGACACTTGCGTTTAAGTGCCACCTTCCACCCCAGTGCTGTGTACACCCTAGTCACCTGTCCCGCCACGCGAAGGAGGCAGCAAGCCGACGCCGACAGAAGCAGCAGGAGCCTGGCCAGTGGCTTCACTCGCAGGGCAGTGAGAAACTTCCCAAGGCACTTCAGTACTTTAGGAAGCTGAGTCCCACTGGAAGTCAGCCTCCACCTCTAATGTATTGGTGAGGAATGTATTGGTGAGGTAGAAGGGGAGTGTTTTACCCGCGTTCACACAACAGGCCAGAGGCAGAATTTGGAATAAGGCCACAAAGCCTGGCAGGCTGCAGCTGCTCTTGCCTTAACCTCCCGTAAGCAGAGCAACACGGGAGAAATCCGAAGGGGCAGGTGGAGAAAACACGTCTACGCTCACAGATGCTTTGGGATGCTCTTGCCATCCTACTGTGAACCTCAGCAGCTTGGAAGATTGCAAAGCTCCCCACGTAACATGTCCTTGTTACATTTTGTCTGTGGTTGCAAAAAGTCTCTCTTTCCCTTCAAACTGCAGGGCTTCCCCCTAAAACAAGCAAGAATTGAGTCGACTGTTCAAGGTCTGCAGTATCCTTGTTCCACTAGGAAGGTTTTCCAATTTCCGAGAAGAAACGTTTAAAGAAACAGTTTGTTTGGCTTCATTTCAAATATTTAGCTCATTTTCAGCAAGCCAAAGGTCAGAGTGGGATCTGCAGGTCAGGAGCAGAAGTTGCTTTATACAGTGAAACCCCAAGACATAATGAGTTTTGAATGAGTGGTCATTTCTCTGACTGAAGCTTTCTAGCATTTCACAAGAGTTTGGAGGGTGGTTGGATTTTTTTTTTCCCTCCCCCTTGTGAATGTTGGAGGGATGGGGGGGCTGTGCACAGTTGCACTTTTGTTAATTTTTGCAGGCTGTGAACCAGTACAAATAAAAGCGCTTCTGTGAGCAGGGTCCCCTCTCCAGGCACGTCATGGAGATGAACTCGATGGCACAGCGTGGTTCTCAAACAGATATTGTTCACGTGCGAGACGTTCCAGGGAGATTACAAACCCGTCACCTTTGGGAAAGCCCCTCGTTTGGAGAACACATTTGGGGATTGTTCTCGGTCCTGGTGCCTGTGCCGCTGCGCCTCAGGCCACTGCTGTCCTGCAATAAAATTTTCCTATGGAATTTCTGGTGTGAGGCTCGGAAGATTTCGGATGCAAGGCGACTTGTTGCTGGATTTGATTGTTTCAGCAGTTATGAGGGAGCCAAAGTGGGTGGGTAAACAGACACGCTTGTAAATAGTAATACACGCTATGGGATTTTTCGTTCAGCAGTTCCAGTGTTGCCCCATCCTGTGCATAGAAAGCGAAGCAGGACTAGTATATTGATAATAAGTATATTTAGGAGAATCCCGATTTCTAGAGATGAATGGGAAATTGAATCAAATCCAGGAAAGCATGAGCAGAATATAGCGATTAACTGTAGAACTAACTGCAGAGCAGTTAACCCTTGAATTGCTTCTTTGCAGAAAGATGGCTGATGGGAGCACCGACTGGAGACCGGGTGATTCTGCTGGCTGCAATAAGAGATGAGGACTGAACATTGGGTTGGGTTTAAAAAAAGGTTGGGTGTCTTAGGGGCGTGATGATGGCTATCAGGGTTTGCAGATTGGTGCAGGGGTTAATTTGTAGGGCCTGCCTGTTCAGATTTTGTGTTGCTAACAGCTCCTGAGGCGGATGCTGTCCTGTACCTTTTGTTACTCATCCGTCTAACTGTACCACACTGCATCCTCCTCCTCTGCCAAGAACGTGGGTGTAATCGTAGATTCAGGACTAACCATGTTGGAACATATCAAGATCAGTTATTTTTACCATTTTTAGGACTACTGCCAGACTACGCCCTTTCCTCTCCACAGTTGAGAGCGCAGTTTAAAATGCCTGGCACAATCCCTCGACTTGGTTCCAGCAGTTTCTTGTTTGCCGGGCTGGCCTCCCCACTGTCACTTAATCAGCAGGATGTGGCTACTTCTCACTAGGATAAGACCACATTGACCTTTAGGAATGGGATGGGTTTCTGATTATATGCTATAAGTCTCATTGAATCCAGTGGTAAAGTCCCCATCTTGTACGTCAAGAGCCGTAATGGCGTGTTTTGTCACTGGATAGTGGGACTCTTCTTTCTCTCTTCCTCCCTCCTTTTCCATCCAGCTTTTGGTTAAGGCTTTTTATGATTGTGTTGCTGGGCTTTGGTTTAGCTCTGGAAGAGATTGTACTGAACTTTGCTGGAGGCATGATTAGCCTGTTACCCAGGAGTTCTTGATCTGTGGCTGAGCTTCCTACGTTCCAGGTTACCTACTGGAAACTATATTGTTGTCAGCTAGAAGTTGCACCAAACCATGCTGGGCCCTCTGGCCTGACACTGTTTTTAGCCTATCCCAGACTATGGTGGAGCACAGATTTCAAATAACTGCGGTGAAAAGGGCTTTGAGCCAAGCTGCTTGACTCCCAAGTTGAATAACAGCTGAACTCCCTCCTCAAATCTAGCAGCAGTCTAGATTTATGAACCTTGTTCAGAGCTACCTGGATTACTGCTTATGCGTTAGGACTTCTTAGGAACTCATCTTTTATAGAGGCATTACTGTTCTAATTTCTGTTACTTATATTAATCTTCCTCCATATTTAGGACCTGGAAGACTTGGGTTCAAGCCCTTTTTTTGCCGCAGATGTTACATTACCTTCGGCAGCACATTAAGTCTCTGTTTCAGTCTCCTACCCAATTAGATGAACAGATGATGCCGTATTTTACTAGGAAGATAAGAATTTAAGACTACCAGGTGCCCAGTTACTCTGATTACAGCAGCTGTGTGGCTTTCCAAATGGCAACTTGATACTCAAACACCTTAACTTTAATTAAAGCTGTTTCAATTTCATTTGGAATTTGTAGCCAGGGTGATTTATCGGAGCATTTTAGGCTGAGAGTTTGGAAGGAAATTAAAAATGGGACAGCAAAAGTACTTGGGGACAGAACTGCCGTTTGAAAAGTCCAGCCTCAACAGTATAACTGAACAGCAGAGCAGCATACGTTGTAAAGGAGTGTTGAGTGCTCATCAGCTGTCTATACCGCAAGATATACTAGAAAGCTGAATAAAAAAGCCATTACAGTGTGTGAAAATAACACTGAGTAAACATTAGCACAGTGATGTTCTTTCAAAAGAGACCAAGGGCACTGAACTTGGATGGCAGTTGCATGTTTAACTGCAGTGATCTTCCCTGGAAATCAGACCCTGAAGATTTTGGCCCTGCATATGCGAAAGTGCTCATTGGAAATAGTACAGCTTTCTGAGAAGCTGTCTGAGTGGCTTTTTATCCCCTAGCCTATATTTCTTTTAACTAGAGGGTGAATTGAAGTGCTCCTGATGGTGGTATAAGGCTCTCACACAGTCTTGGCAGAACGGGAACCTTTAGAATTGAATCTTCAAGTTGTTTCATCTCCCAAGAATGTGTTCAAGAGGATTTAGAATTATTATTACTTCTGCGTAAAAGATTAACAGATCTTCTGTGCTGTACACAAACCCAGGATAAACTATTCTTAGCTGCTTGTTACAGATAGCTCCTTAAATAGTCTTTGGAAAATATGTGGAGTGATTTCAAAATACGATTTAAGAGGAGATAGTGCTGTATGTGATCTACGGTAGATAGTCTGACAGTGCCACTGGCTGATGGGACCTACACAAAAATATGGCTTTAAATGGGGACTCACCTCTGCTCCCCTTGTTTTACTGTCTTGCTATCCATTTTTTTTCTAAACTCTTAAGACAAAAATTCATTTGCTTTGTAGAGGAAATGAGTTCATCTGCAGGCTAAATAAATAGCTGAACAACTAAAAATTTCCCTGTAGCAGCTACTTCTGTTTTCTTCAGTTTTGTCCGAGTAAATCGTTGACTCCCCCACACTCTTCAGCTCCCCTCTGTCTACCTTCATCTCTGTCCTTTGGGATTCTTTGCAGAGTTTTAACTCCCCTGGCCCCAAAGATTTGTTCCCAAATGTGGAATACTTGGTGTATCTGAATTATCTTGTTGTCACAACATATCTTGTGGTGACAGACACATGCCACTCTCCATAAAGGTAGGTAGGAAATGGTAGCTAAGTTTCACGCACTCCAGCGCACTGGCTTTAATAGCCATATTGTTTGCCAGCATAAGAGCACTGAAGAGTCGTTCAAGGGAGGAAGGCAGATGGCGAAGAAGCCCATAGGTTTGGGGCCTGGTGTGAGCTGTGGATCAAGGCTGTTGTTGCTTTACACCAACGGAGCCTGGCTTGGACACGCACGTCTTGCACATACGCACTGTCACGGAGCAGGTTCAGGCAGTGGGATGGCTGCTTTAAAGGCTTTGCTTGAATTTTGCATTGCTAGGCAGGAGGAGGAGATGACTGCGCTTGCAAGGAAGATGTTTCATCCCCTCTTGCAAGCTGTTCATGTTGCGTACCTAATAGGAGAGCAATACACTAATGCGGGGAGCTTGCTTTCTTTCTAAGTGCTAGTTAATCCCTGGTTCTGCCTAATTTAGAAGGCTGCCTAATGAGGGTGCTGTTAAAGTTGTATCCCTGCTGGGGTTGCAGAGTGCTGGCATGGAGCTGGCTGGGTCTGGCCATATCACAACCTGAGACTTTCTGCAGCTCCACTGGTCATGACTAACACAGATAACTACCGACTTCTTTTGATTCTTGTTTTGTTTGTTGTGTTTCTTTAGGGTCCTCCTGGTCCTCATGGAAACCCTGGCTTACCTGGACCCCCCGGCCTGAAAGTAAGTATTGGCATGAGGAGCTTTTGTCGTCTTGTTTCGGGGAATGTTACGCTGGGGGAAATGCAGCCTTATTTTATCCTGCTCTGTAGAAAATGAAACGTAGCTGAAACCATGTATCCCTTCCCCTCTGCTCACACACAGACCCTCCAGCAGCACAGCAAAAGCCTTTTTCCTGTGCTTGTGAGAGACCTTGCTGTGTATCTTGGTTCTCGGTTCTTCCTAACGTCAAAGGCTGCTTAATTAAGATTCTGCTTAAGCTATGCCTCTACCAGGGAGTAAATTGCTATGGTGAGACCAGAGCAGTGGAATCCTCCCACACTAAAGTTTCACCAAGTCCTGATTTCTTTACTTTCTTGTTCTTCTCTGCTTTTGCAGCCCGTTCGGCTGGGTTTGCATCTGCGCTGCTGCAGGCAGCAGTCTGGGGAGAGTTGCAGCACCCCACTTCTTTCTCTGCCTTCCTCCTCCTGAACTACTGTCTCTCCTTCCCTCTCCGGTGTCTCTGCGTATCCTGATCTCCAAAAGTCCTATCAAACTGATCCTGCTGCTTCCTTACATATGTCTTCCTCTCTCTCTGCATGCGATCTCGTATGTATGGCTTTGTGTTAGCTAGAGACTGCGAAGCTCCTGGGAAATTGGTGTAGATTGTTGAGTGTTCATTTAATCACAAATAGATTTAGATATTATAATGCTTATATAGGTCCAAAGAATAGCGGGGGGTGGTTGTGAGGGGCAGTGCTTTATTGAGGTTTTTCCTAATGACAGGAAAGCTGTAGGATATCTCAGCCAAACACAGAGAAGGTGCAAGCGAGAGTCCTTTCTTTTCATGATCTCATCAGTAGGCAGAAGTGTTATGAACACTATTGATGCTCTGGGAAAAAGATCTGGAAACTTGGCATGCTGCCTCTATGTGATTAAAAATTAGGCACTGGAGACATGCTGGTGAACAGCAGCTGTTTTAAATTCTAAAGCGTAGTTATACGGCCTGAAAAGTGAGGCTGTAAAAGTTCTACATCTTAGCGTTCTGCATTTATTCTCCATCAATGACTTCCAGATCACACTCGGTGAGTTTTACAAGTCAAATCAAACCCCTTTTTATCTAACTTCCAGCCCTGCAAATTCAGCCTGGTCCAATCTGCAGATTCAAGCTATATTTCTATGTTAAGGAATTTTTTTTTTTTTAATCTTTAGCCCACTGCCTTGTCAGAAACCATCATTTGACTGTAAAGCTGTATTGGTTTAGCCTTCTGGTAGAAATAAAAACTTCCTGCCAATGCTTTTCCTCCATCCTGCTGGGCACTTTGTCTGGCAGCAGAAAGCCCTCTATGGCCTGCCTGGCTGTAACTCCCATCTCCAGCAGAGAGGGCTTGCTCCGCCATGATAGCATGATCTTTGTGTAAGAAGAACTACATGTTAGATACCTCTTAAATTCCTCTGGTTTGTCCTTTTGGAAGTTACATGCCAGAAGCTGGGTTTCACTAAAAAAAATTCACCCTCCCACATTTTAAATGCCTCTGTCCTTTACCAGACTTGACAAGCATGCACCTGCATCCAGGGCCTGACATCTGCCTCATACGCAGAGCCCATGGCTGAAGTTAAGGACTTCTGAAAGCTCAGCCCCGTTAATCAGGCAAAGCAATCCCAAACAGAACTTCTCCTGTTGAGGGTCGTTTGGGTGGCAACAGGCTGCTAGACTAGGCTTTCCCTAGATAGCTCTTAATACCATGGAAAAAACAAGCAATCCAAGAAGGGAAAGTGAATTTTCCCAGATAGATACAGATTGGAAACAATGACTAACACCAAGTCATTGTCACTTAGGAAGTAAAACAGAAGCCCAATTCTTATCAGCTGAATTAACAGAGCACTCATAGATCAGGCAGTCAACTGCTTACACGACATCTGATACTGCAGTGCGGCAATATGCATGTTGGGTGCGTTCACACTAGCGAGCACTAGCATTGTGTTGTCAGACTGTCACGTTTCTGAATCTCTGCTGTGCAGGGAGTCCAGTTGATTCTCATCACTGGAGCTGAGCGCTTGCAAGACCTTCGATTTAGCTGATCTTTTGCACAGAGTTGTGTATAGCTCTTGAGCCAAATTCTTGCTGGTCTGTTTGGGTGCAGTTCCATTGACTTCAGCGGCATTCCACCCACTCGCACCACCCGAGAATTTATCCCGTTGTGCTTTTCTCAGCAATTTATAGTGTGCAACTGCTTAAAGGGGCCTTCTTGCCACTTTTGGCATTTTGTTTCTTGTCCTTGGCAGTTGCAAAATTACTGTTGCATCTAGTTTGTAAAGATTATGATTGTATTAGATAAACTCTTAATCTAATGTAGACATACTGTGGGGTATGGACCCTACTGGCTGACTGACCTGTAAGCTGATGGAGGGATTGGAGGGACGTTCTTGCTGATGACTAGATGTAGCCCTGAGGATGTCCTAATAGTGTTTGGGATGGGGAGAAGAGTTAGCTGTCAGGCAAGGTGAGTTTTCCAAAGCCATTACAAGAGCTGAGTTTGCATTCTTTCATCTGGAGGCTTTTGGTCTTAAACTTTAATATGTTTTGCTTAGGTAGCTGCTCTTGATAAATCTCCTTTATTATAGTGCTAGAGAGAGTTGACTTTTCCTTCGGTGAATGGTGTGACTCCAAGATCACTGATGTTTAAAACGCTGTTAGCAGGATGGCAAAGCTGATGTTTTTAAACTGCACATCTTTAGACTTCTTTTAGATAGGGAAAAAATGGAAGAAAACAATTTCTTCCTTTACAAGAGGAAGTAATGTGGTTGGTTAGTTGGGGTGGGAAAGTGAGGGACTTGTGGGCAAGGTGCTGAGGCTTAGCAATGGACAAGGCTTAGGGTAATTCTCATGTTGTGGTTGCTGCAAGAGGAGAGTTGGGCAGTTAACTTGCAGTCTCAGCCCTCAGCATCCAGACATCTGTTCTCTCTGGCTCTGATGCTGTATTGCTGATTAATCTTGGGGAAGTGTGATCCTGCTGTGGCTGAGTTCCCCACCTGTATCATGATCAGAACCATGGTGCGAGGCACAGTCTTTGCTAACGTGTTTTGGAGCTTCCCAGTGAAAAACGTGAGAGAATTCTGTTCCTTTACATAGCTCAGTGTCATTGTGCTGAGCAGATGGCAAGATTTATGGAGGCTGGTGGGTGTCTACCTGCAACAGTAAATTGATTTTTGCAGTATAAAAATGAGTGCCCTGCAGTCCTGAGACGGCTCTAATCTTTTCCAAGCAGTCCTAGCACCCACAGATTGCTCTGAAGCTCAAAGAGTGGGAGAATTGCCCTGATAACAGCTGCATGCAAAGCAAGATTATCTGCATGACTTCATTTGCTGTTAGGAAACCAGGCAGTCTTCATTCAGAATTTGTACAGACACATCTGCCTTGAATCAGCAGTGCTCCCTACAGTCCATAGCCAAGCAGACTCGCTCCCCGAACCTTGCAGCTTGTGGTGGATGGCAGAGGAGGAGAAGGGGAGATTTACCTTTGATTCCAGGTGGGAGGTACATGTCACACGTAACTGTGTAGTTGCAGCGAGGCTGCATGGAAAAGCTGCTCAGCTAGCTATAACTAGACCTTTGTGCTGCTAACAAGCAACACCGGTTAATAGATACTATTACTCCTTTGTTAGGGTCTCACCTTCCCTCCAAGCACTTCAAAGCACTTGACAACCGTTAATTAACCCACAGAACTGTCCTGTGCTTGAGTGGTTAGTTTTGAATCCCGGATTGCTGACGTGGCACACAGAGGTTGTGACTTATTTATGATCCCGGGTGTGTTAAATGGCCAGTGCCTAATGTTGGCATGTCTGTGTCCTAGCCGTACCAGAGAAGACGTTATACAGATCTAAAGTTCTTTATGTGCTAAGCTTTACCTCTCCCCTGCCCAAAGAATCTGGCATGTTTCAAATCTCTTCTCCTTTTTCCTATTTCTATATCAAACCCCATTTGGTGTGCACACTGCCTTTTAAGATTTTAAACTTGGATTTCCAAAGGAATCTACTGGAATTAGGTGTTCAAATGCTGCTGAAGTTCCACCTTGTGTTTGTCAGAAGGTCACAGTCTTAAATTGTGAGTTCTCTTGCCACAGTTGTTAAAAAGGAAAATAAAGAATATAGCCACTTAAGGTAAAGTGTGTCTCTCTCTTCTGCCAGCTTGAAAGCCTCACAATTGCTCTGGCTGTTGCTAGCATCTAATTAGTGTAACTCTCTCTGGTTTCATTTGTTCCCACAATTAAAGAAAGCAGCAGCATCTAGCAAGTTGTTAAACAAGACGGTTTAGCCACAGCAATAGGCTTAGTAGTTATTTTTGTGATGGTAGTTTGTAGACAAGAAAGAAATCACAGCTGTCTAGTATAATAATTATCAAAAGTCGTGGCATTGCCTTCTTCCAGATATCCTTTCTTTAGTCAATTTAATACTGTCAAATATAATTTAAAAATCTTAATTAGCAGCAAATAGGCACTGAAACCATCCCCAGCAAAACAGAGCTATACCCAGGAACTTTAATACATTTGAGATATGGGAGCAAGACAAAGACAAAACAAAATGTTTTTCTAATTTGGGGGCTTGGCCGAAGCAAGACCACTTCTGTGAGCTGAGTCCTTGGATTACGTCATTAATTTAAGTTTTTCATTTCCAGGGTCAGAAGGGTGATCCTGGGATGTCACCTGGGAAAGCTCGCAACGGACCTAAGGTAAGAATTTCCCGCAAGCATCAGGAGCCCATTGTGCTCAGCCCTGAGCATACACGTGGAAGGAGTCCATGCTCCAGCCACAAGCAGGACAGGTACTCAAGCAGACATCAGGCTAAAAATTAAGACTTAGACCCTGGATTCAGGACTAAAGAGAGTTAGCTAAAGAATTGACCACAGTGCACTGAAGTGTCTGCTGCCACAGCTTCTTGTCCTTAAAGTGTTAATCCATCTTGTGTGTGATCTGCAGTCCATACTTAAGTCCTTGCTGACACAAGAATGCAGCTACTTAAGCTAGATATTTAAGCTAGCGGATGCACATCTATATGAGATATAGCCACACCTTGCCAGGTCGGGGGATGCACCTGTAGAAAGAGGTAATCCCAGTCTAAGCAATACAAACCTTGAAAGTAAAGAAAATGGCATTTTCACTGCGGAGCTAAGCTACGGTGTTGTGCCTCGTGTCATGTATACAGTCCACAGCAGATCATCACTCTGAGGGCAGCCTTGCAGTCTGGCTGGAGGTTAGCACACAAACTCATTGTGTGCTAACAAGAAGCTTTTCCACCAAGGTCTACTCAAATCAGCACAAACCACATACGTTGGAAAGGGTAGCCTCATTTTTAGATTTAGCAATTGTTAAGGGTTAGAGTTCTTCTGCTAATTCTTTTCAATAAATTACAATCCACATTTTTACTGTTTCACAGCTGAATGATTTTTATTGAGGCAACAAGGCCTCACATAAATCTAGAAATGAGTAGAAGATCGATCAGAGCTTCACAACATCTACCTCAATTAGTTTTCAGTGGTGCCTGCACAAAACTTCATAATTCATGTCCACGGCAAGAAGCCTGGTTCTCTTCCTTTCATCGTGAGCCTTGCTATAAATGCACAACTAATAGAAAGCATCAGCCATGAGGAAACTAGGCCCTTACTTTGAAACCAGACGCGTCGATGAAGTGCAGCAAGCCACACAAATGCAGGATGGATGATGACGCTAGAAAACATTGAGATGGCTGAGTTTGAAACGATACTTTCAACTTAACAGCACGAGATGCTGTTTGAAATTTCTGGTACTGCATTGCAATGGCATCACATGGAAACCATTCACCCGCACAATCTGGAACCATTTTCTTGCAAGCATGCTCAGTGAAAGAAAGGGAGAGATCCAGATCACTTCTAGCTCATGTTAACAAGGCTTTGTTCCTGTTAGCAGTAATAGAAACAAGGAGTTTCCAGCAGGAGTTTGGAGGGGTGCCTAATTCTCAAGCTAGTTACTCCAAATACATTTTCAGTAGGCTGGCACAGCAACTTGTGTTAAAAACCCTAAGGGTTTTTTGATCCTGATCAGAGGAGGCCAAAATGGGCTTGTCCAAAAGCATTGGATGTTAGAGGGGTCTCACACCAAAGTGCTTCACCATTCTTATGATGATTCGGGTATGCCAGCTGGAATGGGATGCGATCCCCTTCCAGAAGTACAGGCCACTGAAAAATACCTCTCACGAGCAGCCTGCAAAGGTTCAGTCCATGTTGTGTAGGCAGGTTAAATAATTATACCGTCAGGACCATCTGAACTTTAGCTGAGCTAAAGAGCTGTAGGCTGAGCCAATGCAGTAGCAGAATATGAGCACAATCACAGGATTTGCTAGGCGATACCTGTTGTTCTCGTTGCATTTAAAAGCTAAGATTTTCCTGCCCTGGCCATTTAAATGCCTATCGAAAGGCAAATGAAGCATGTGACTGAATGAGATCATTGAAAAGAAGGCATTCATTCTGCTAGCGAAAAGCTGGACCGCAGCAGCAGCTGCCATTAATTAACCGGGCTTATTATTTATATGAGCCAGTTAATAGAGATGGTGTTTAAATCTACACTTCTTGTCCAGTCAATTATTGAAGAAGTGTGATTAGAATCAGAAGTATCAGTAGTTAGGTATTACCCTAGGCAAAATAATTTCAATAACAATGTACTAGGCATAAGGAAAAAGTTGCTGAAAATTAATGTCACTTGCTTGCTTCCTACAGGGAGACGTGGGCTTACCTGGTTTGACTGGGTTCCCTGGACCACCTGGTCGAAAGGTAAGAATATGTCCTTTTCTACTAAATTAGGTTGGTAGTTTTATATTAAAATGTACTCCTCTAACTCTTGCAGTTGCAAGAATTCTGAGTACTTCCTAAAAGATTTAATTAAGCCCTAATACCCAGCAAAAATGTCTTATCTCTAGCAAAAATGTCTTATCTCTGTTCCAGAAGTGTGTAAACTGTAGCACAGGACTGAAACGACATCCTAAAGGCTGTACTAGCAAGACCATATAAGAGTATTGAATGAAATTCTGGATTCGTATTTCTGTTCCTTCTTTCCCAAGTCCATGTCCTCTTGCACTGCATCATCCCTTTGCACCCTGACACTGGTTCTTCATCAGGAAGCTAAGTTTAGAACTGGTTCAGCTAATATGCTAGGTAAATGGACCTACAACCTGCATCAGCACTCAAAGGTTGGGTTCAGGACTCATTTAGACATTCCAAGGAAAACCTGACTCCCTTTCCTGATAAACGCATTTCAGAGAAACGATCTGCATTCCTTTCCCCTTTTTTGCCTAGAGACTGACAGCATCCATCTGATTTTGCTTTATTTGCACCACTGAATTTTGCTTTATTTGCTTCTGTATTGACGTTTCACCAACACTAATGTCACCAGAAACCGTGCCTAAGAGAGGATAAGTAGGGATAGAGCACAAGATCCGTCGTTCCCTTTGTGTTGCAGCAGTGTGTATGTTGATGAATGGAAGTACGCACAGCGATATCTTAGCTATCCACAGCTTGAGCTCATGTTCTCTGTATATCGAGGACACTTCAGCTGATCTTCCAGTTCCAGTCTGCGTGGGTAGGCTGGTTTGTTTTTTCTGGAAGCTGAGCTTGTTGCATGTAGTTGGGAGCTGTTTGATGGCTGATGTGAAATGGGTTCAGTGGACATCAGTCCCCTTCCCTGTGAGCAAATATTGACATGGCAAAGCTGAGCAGTTAAAACTGGCATCTTGTTTTAATCACTTCATCAGTCAATGGGTCGTTGAAGATGTACTCTTCCTCAGGCCAATTGCCTGCGCACAGACACCTACTCTGGTACGCTTTATGGCTCCGGGGAGGGAAGGAAGCTGTGCAGGCTGAAAGAAACCTTCCTTCTCCATGACTGTATGTTGTATGCTTTATATTGGAATCAAACTGCCAAGAGTAGGGGCTGCGTTCATTTTTCTGTGCCCGAGGTTGGTCATTCTTGAGGTGCCGTGCGGAGCTAGGAGCAAGGAGTGCTAGGAGTGATTAATTAATGGTCTTTTGCTGTCATAAACAAGTTGTAACAAAGCTGGTCTAAATAATATCATTTTCTTAGTGTAACAGCTTATAAAACAAAACCCTGTGGTTTTGATCAGCAGAATGCAATGTTAGGAGAGCAAGTCCTCATGCTGCAAAAAATATAGAAGGAATAGGAGATTGAACAAACATTGCTGAATGCAGCACATGGCCCTCACACCTGATCTCAGCTCCCCTAGGACAAGGCGAAGGCTTCTGTTTCTTCAAGTGATGAGCAAACTGGATGCTGAAGTTTTTCCTTTGGTGCGGCTTAAAAAAAAACACCTCACAGTAGCACTAACCCAGCAGTGTTTTGGGGCAGCCTGGCTTTTATTAGCGTCCTGCATTAAGAAAAAATTTACAGCTGTTGGAGAAATGTTTGGAAAAATCTTTTTTTATCTGGATTCCCTTCTGGCGTCTTCCCATTGCAAATATGCTGGTGTTTGGCTGAAGATGGGCAACAACCTCTTGGCTACAAGAGAACAGCGAAGCCTTGGAAATGGACACAAGAACAAAATTTCCCATTCATCCCTTGGAGGGACTGTGAAAAGAGCTCCACGGGCTTTCGTCTGAAAAGTCCATTTAGAAACTTTCAGATGGGCAGAAGTTCTCCTCGGGGAAAATGAAATACTTTTTCTTCTGAAGGAAGCAACTGGCTCAGCAGCATGAGCTGGAGCGACAACCAAGCGGCATATGGTTTTGGATAGTATGGTTCACAGCACAGCATCTGCCTGTGTTATGAGCGTACAGACCTTTGCTCTTTTAGGTTTTGGAGAGTCTGACCTCAGAGCACCCACAAAGTCATTTTGCCAGTGCCCAGCTATGGGAACATGAAAGGCTCAGTCCAAGAAAGATGTAATGTTCGTCCACTCCATGTGGAGTAAATGTTGCTTTAGCTGAGCAACAGTTCTAGGGAACGGTGGCAGGACTTGGTTGTCTGCTCTGCCCTTCCCTTCTCGTGCCTAGGAGGTGTCTGTGGGCTTTGGCTTTTGGCTTTGGGCTGCAGACTATAACTGCCCTCCAGACATATCTCAGCAGAGCACTGCGCTGTTGCTCCCAGGCTCAGATGCTGCTGAGAGAAAGGCTGTGGCAAAGTGCAAGGCTGAACAGGACAACAGAAGTGCGAGAGTAAAAAGCTTGGCTAAAACCACACGGGGAGTTAAAGGCAGAGCTGGGAATAGGTCAGGGTTTCAGGACGCATGCTGTCATGCAGACCACACTCACTGGCCTCTTTACTTTTTACATTTCCTAACAAAGTGCAGGATGGTCCTTTTTAGCTAGGATAGCATGAATTATAAATATCATCACAGATGAGCGAATCCTTCACTGGAGTGTAATTTCCTTTCTAAATCACAGCCCGTTGTGTTGAACACCCTGTAATCATCAGGAAGTGTTTGGATAAAAGAGCAAATGCAGTTGTTTTCATACCCTCTGCCCTGTCATTTTAGTGCTATTTGAAGAGGACTGCAGCAGGTAAACACTTTCACGTTCCAGCCAACTGTATGGTACACAAGCTTTTTCGATTTCTCCTCACTGTGATTAACCTGAGACAGACCTAACTGCAGGATGATTTGAAGAAACACACGTTCCAAGCTCCCCAGAGATTGCTATAGATAGTGAGGGGGGTATTTAATAGGATGCAAAAGTAGTAGAGTGTCTATATATTTAGCTTAAGAGGTATTCGCTTACCATTATAGCAATAGCAAGGCAATGCTTGGTACAGACATTAGCTCTGGCACGTTTTTAGGGTCTCAAGGGGCGATAGTCTAGCCACCTGCTTTAGGTAGACAAGGCAGGCTTGAAACTCCCATCTCGTGGGAACCTGATCTGAGCAGAGTGATTGAGAGCAGCCAAGCTAGGCACCTCTTTCAAATCAGTGGAGGGAGCGAGAGACCTCTGGGTGTGTGTCTGGGACACAGGTAGGTGCCCCAGTTGCCTGGAAACAAAAGTGATTCCTGCTCCAGGCTGTGCCGGAGGAGCTGGGCAGAGCTCCAGGGATGGTTGATAGGGACACTGGGCCTTCCGCAGGATTTGCACCTTTTCAGAGCACCTTCACCATCAGGCCAGGCAGCCAAGCAGAGGGAGCATCTCCCCTGCTTTCTGCTGAAGTGGAGCCTCCGGTCAGGAGCCGGAGAGGGGATAAGCGAGAGGGAAATTCAAGGGGAGGATTCCTGGGGAAGGGCAGGGAGTCCTGTCATCTGGTCCTCACCCAAGAACTGCGGAAGCGCTTCATATTTAGGAGCTGCTGGATGAAATGCACTAACAGCGTTAGGAGAAAGGACCTTCAAGGAGGTTCAGATAAGGGCCAGCTGGTAGCAAAATCATCTTTTGGGTTAGCCATGACGTTCTCAGAGGGTGCAGCTCAATCAGTAGACAGGGCTGTGATACATGAGCACGGTCAAGCAGCAGAAAATGGGTGAAGAGGGAATCAACGTTTTTCCAGGCCAAAATGTCTGAAATAACAAGCAAGGAGGAATGCAAAGGGGAGTGGGTAGTAGCCAGGATGGCTGAGAGCACTGCATACCTCCGCCAGCGAAGGCTTAGGCTGCAGGTCTAGAATAGCCCATGGGAAGAATAAAAAAGCAGTTAAGCAGAGGTGTGGACTTGGGAGCAGAAACAGTACTGGGTTCATCTGGTGAGTGAAGCGAAAGGCCAGGTCCTTGGCCAGAGGAGGGTTTGGTTATGGCTTCCAGCGCAGAGGGATGCTCCCCAGGGTGTTTCACTGACAGGCAGTATGTGTTGGGAGCCCTGTGCTGAGACGGGGCAAGAAGTAGAGACCGAGTTACAATTAGCAATTGTAACCCATCCTGAAACCATTTTGTTATTTCTGTAGTATTTGTGCAAGGGTTGTTGCTTGTTTATTCTTTCTCTCCGTTTGTTTCAAGTTACATTTTTCTGCTCTTTCAGTCTTGCTAATAGCCCAGCTAAACAGTCGCCTCTGTAACTGAATTTAATCTCCTAATCTGCTCTGACTCCACTTGATGGAAACGAGTTTATTTTAAATAGCTGAAGCAACATAATAAAGGGAGAGGAAAAAAAAAATCTGAAGTGCCTGCCACTTGCAGGCTTTACTCAGTGTTCAAAGAGAGCTCTAGGTAAATCCTGGAGAAAGTGTACTCTCTTAAAACACGTACTGACCAGTCTGCAGTGGAACAAGCTAGTTTTGTCCTGTCCCAGGGTCTGTCTCTCAAAAAAAGATACTGAAAAATGGAAGCAGGTTTACGAAAGACCTGCGAGAATGATTTGAAGCCTGCAGCGTTTGCCAGCCGGAAGGATTAAGAAACTCATTCTAATTAATTCAGCTGAGAGCAGGTTAAGAGACAGCTTGCTTACCATTTTAGGTAGCTTCATAATAAAGAACTCTGGATCTTGTCATACCTTGTAATAATTAGATTAAAAACTGGAAGCTAGACAAATTCAAGCTAGAAACAAAGCAAAAGCTTCCTGTGACAGTAGGTGGTTACTGTGGTGGTTCCTGTGGCATTTCAAGTTTAAAGTCAAAGTTAGCACTCTTTCTAAAACATAACTGACCCGTGTCGTGCAGGGCTTGGTGTAGGAATTGCTGGATAAAATTATAGGAACCCTCTTAGTCAGAAGACTTACCCAGAAATGATCGGTTCTTTCACCATGGACTTGAGATCTGTGGCTTTTCTGAAGCCAGTGGTGAAAGTCCCCTCAACTTGCCTAAAGTCAGTGTTTTACCCTACAAGTCTGCAGTTTCCTAGGGATTAAGGAAAGTCTAAATGTGTAGATTACAACTATCAGATTTTCGTGTAGATACAGTTCTCTAAGACCATTCTAGGAGCAAGTCCATCCCAAGTAACCGTCAGGATCAAACTGCGGCTGGTGCAGGGGCTGCTGTCACACTGCCTTGCAGCAAGCCTGGGAGCATCAGCAGGACTCGGCCCCTGGGATTTTTGCAAACAAAAAGCGGGACATGGAAAGTTAGTGTGGTTGTGTAGTGCTGTCCCATACCTAAAGACCTACTTCTCCTCACAGCTTTACTCCTACCTGAAAAGAGAAATTCAAACCAAAAGTGGATTGTTTTATTATGATCTCTCTTATTTTTCATCCCTTCTTCCCTATTTCAACAGGGATATAAAGGCTACCCTGGACCACCAGGTCACCCTGGAGAGCAGGTGAGTCTTCCCAGTTTCCAACATTGAACCTTCAGAGAGGGATGGATTTAATGACTCCGACGCTAGTTTGGATCCTGTACAGCCTGCTCGGTGTGGACTGTCAGCTCCTTCTAGGGCCAGTTTTGTACACACATAATGTATGCAGTTAAATCTCTTGCTACAGGGGGCTGTGCACATATGTTGACCAAGCATCAGCAGGTTGATGGGAGGAGACTGCACTGGAGTTTCTAAATTTAATTTCTAATCTTTATTGCTCAACCATGTTAAGTTTACGTGGTGGAAAAAATACCAGCTTACCCTACTCCCCTTTATTTTCCTTTTACGTTAGTTTCACCTGGAGTTTACCAACTACATCATATTAAGTACTGACATGTAATTCCCATCCCAAACCCCTTTCCCCCTTCCCCCTTTTCCCTCCCCCTTTTATTTGGTTAAGTCTGTTTGCAGTTCAGAGAAGAAAAAAAAAAAGGGCAATGAATAGCAGGCCCTGTTAGCGATGATGTTAGAGGATATTATACATGAATCCATTTAGTTTTGAAGAATTTTGGCAGGGCTTCCCCACCCCTAAAATGGTTCCATATGCCAGATATAGATGCAGCCTTACACCTTCTCTTAGCCGCCTTGTTTCAAACTATCTGCTGGTTTCCCTGCAGATGGAGGGAGAAGGAGAAATGGCAACGGTTGCTTAATGCATGGATCCAACTGAGTTGGCTTCTGCATTTTTTTTCCCTTCACTAATTTATTCCACTGTCTTCATTTAATCCTTTTCTCTCTCTCTCTCTGTAAATTTGCATCGAGTTAATCCACCCAACTCTGCTTTCCCCCCAACTCAAAGAATGAAGCAGCAAATGGCTTCTTATGTGTGCCATTAACCTTACCTTCCTGTGCTTTTTTTCTCTTTAAAGGGCGAACGAGGACCAGACGGAAGTCCAGGTGCCAAAGGTTATCCTGGCAGGCAGGTGCAGTAAATCTCATCGTGCTGTGCACAGACTAGGGATTTGGGTGTGCAGGTAGCTGCCCCACTACATGCCCCACTACATGCAAGCCCCCCTAAATACAGTGCAGACCTACGGCATTGTCTCGCTTTTCCTTCTTATCTGCCCAAGATGTTGTATCAGTGACATCGCTCTTTTGACTCGGTGTGAAACTCTAAGGTTACCAGAAAATATTTTCTGTCCATGATGTTATAAAACTTGAATTTCAATAGCAAAATCTGACCAAAATTTTTTCTTCGTTGTAAGAACAGATAAAAAAATACAACAGAGTAGAGAAACATACCTGCAAGCTGTTAACCCTTCACTTCCAGGCAAGTTTTTTATATCTAATGTTGAACAGGCTAGAAAGCTGGGACAGAAGAAGGCGTGTTACTGAAACAAGACGTTTCTCACCAGTAAAGTCCACTAGTGTAACCATATGTATTCATATGTATAAAATTACACATGGAGCACAAATATATATAAAAAAAATTCTATCTGCAGCTGCAAAAAAGATGGTGAAAGCTGGGTGTTTGTTTTCCAACTGAAAAAAGTGCACCAAGATGGCTTCAGGAATGAAGCAGTATGCAAAGGAAAATGGATCAGGATAGGACACTTTTTTTCTTATTGATGTGAAATGCTGAATAGTAAGAAGAAAAGCAGGAGGAAGAATTTGTAAGATCCTAACTGAAATCTGCATCCCTAGGACAGGAGATCTGACCCTGTAAAATTTTTCGGTGGAACAAGTTTGTTATGGTCTTCTAAAGCCAAATGCATTAGTGTTGGGTCCCCCCATATTTATATTGACATATCTAGTAAAGAGTCTTGACAGATGTCAGAGACCCCTGTCAGCCATTTCCATGCATCCGTCAACCTTCTCATAGCTCATATGTGAGTTTTTGCACAGCTGTGTAGGGTATTGGACTAAATGTGAACTAGACACTCAGAGCAAGTCTGTGTTCCCTCTGCCCCCGACTATCAATAATGGATGGTGAGTTTAAACTTGAAATTAGATTCATACTCCACTTTGCAAATCTTCGGTGGAATATCCAGCCACGCACTGGAGAATGCAGGCAGTAGAACTGGGTGAGAATTTTGTGCACTTGACTAAACGCTACGTTCATATTCCGAAAGGCTCTTAGAGATTTGCATTGCCAAAGCGTCTTCTAGGTGTCAATGTGCATTACATGACTAATATAAATCCGTTTGAGCTATAATGGACATACAAGGTTAATGCATGCTGTTTAGCAATTCACAGCAGTGTTCTTCTGCCCATCTGATAAGTAGAGTGAAATATTTGTGCTTGAACATACAAAGAACAAAAGTGCTTTCTTCAAATGTGGTTTGGGACAGGGAAGTGCCTTCTATTTTTTTAAGGCAGCTTTTTTCAGTATATCTGAATGCTGCGTGTATCCAGCATCAGGGCTGTTTACTTTACTGAGATTTTACTACTTGTTACTCCTGTCAGCTGTGCTGGCTCTGCAGTGCTTTGAGAGCGCGAGCTTGGCTCTCTTTTGATTTGTGCATCATAGGCAGAATTGTTAACTCCACTCGGATGGCTGAAATCTTTGACTGGCAATGATGCATGAGCCAGAAAAGAGCGCAACTTGACTTTCAAATTCCAAGCTGAGTTGTGCAGTGCTGCCAGCTAAAGAAAATATAGAGCTAGTCTCCTTCCCTTCCCCCCGCCCCACCAAGAAACCCCACCAACCTTTGCAACTAAAAAAACCCAACTGATCTGGAAACTTGCTAAAGGACAATGAATGTGGAAATTCATTATGCGTTTTTACGAGGTCCTTTTTCACAATGCTAAGGGAACAGCAATAGGTAGAGAGGTAGAATGGAGTGCACTTTCAGCTCTCTCCATAGCTGTTGAAGCTGTGGCGGGCTAGTGAGCTGCAGTGCCTGCACTGCTGCATGGCTTTATAGGCTGTAGACATTACAGGGGATTCCTCACTGCATCAGGGCCTGACTGGGTCTAAACAAGTACTGAAATACATTTGTCATTGCTATGCATGTGTTCATTTGGGCAGGAAACTGAATCCTGCCTTTGGAGCAAGAGCTGGTGGGTACAAAGGATCACTGCATGTTGTGCCTAAAGGGTAATGCAACCTCTGTGTGCCCTGCTGCGTTAGCCTCTCTGGTCTTTATGATCAGAAATCGCTACTTCAGCCCTGGGGAAGGCTCAGTCTGTGTAGCAGTCTCGGATTTTGCTGAGTAAGGGCTCTGCGACAATAGGAGATTTGCTATTGGTATCATTTTGTCTTTTTTTCTCCTTTGTTGCTGTGCCTTGGACTAGGTACTGAAAGCAGAAGCATGCAGGGATGTTGCTGGGAGTCTGGCACTGCTCATTAGGTTAAGTTAAAGCCTGTCCACATTTTTCTTTGTTTTCTCCCTTGTGTTTCAGGGTTTACCTGGTCCAATAGGGGAAGCTGGTCCAAAAGGGAATCGGGTAAGCGGCCTTTGATTTGTCTTTTTTTCTGCTTGCTTTTACCCGGCCCTTCTCAAGCAACTTATGCTTAATTTTGCAATCCTGAGACTAGTTCCTTTAAGCTGTTGAATTTGGGGGATTTTCATTGCACGCCGCTTGTTTATTGAAATACTTCTGATTTTCAGAGTGAGAGTCAGAGTGTACCAAAATGAAAGATCACTGATAGTGCTGATGATGCAAAATCCATGCATTCAGAGCTTGCCTTGCAGGAAAGAAAAGAACGGCCTACAAATTCCTAGCAAAGACCGACGTCTGAACTTTCTGCAAGTCCCATCTCCCAAAGGCCTCTTAGTTTCAATAAGTGCGGTTCAGTGGTTTTTGAACATGCTTAAAATGGGCCCTTACGAGTGTAGTCCTGAGTTTGGGAATGATATATACCATTATGCAAAATAGCAAGCCAGCATCTTGAAGCCATGTGCAAATACAAACGTTAATATCCTTATTCTGCCTGGGTTTGCTCATCAGTTGAATTGCAGTGGGTTCCTCCTCACTGCAAAGGATGTTTTTAATCCTATTTTTAACAATTAAGACTCCTGTTAATCACATTTTGTTCTTTTCCTGCAATTACAAATTCACAATGGCATTCTGAGCCAGTAAAATCCCCTCTTTACCTAACATGTGATATTTTCTCTATACACGCTAAATTCAACCAGCTGGCTTTCATCACTTGGAAAACTGCAACCAATAAACAAATGCTGACCCTGTAACTAGCTCTGTTCCTGAGCTAGGAAGAGAGAAGGCAGGGAGAGAAGGGCAGATCACATGTTTAATGCCCCACAGGAGAGAGGAAGATCTGTGACAGCACAGCTTGCTTACCTCACTTCTGCAAGTAATCAAGTTTTTCCTGGTGCACCCTTTTCACTCACCCAAGCTGGATCTTGTATAATTATTGTCTGGTAGATGTGCAATACTAAGAACACTGCTTAGCAGAAAGTAAGACCTGAAAATTATCTTCTGCTTTTCACCCCTGAATGCTCAGGGCTGAAATATTTATAGCTACCTAAAGAAAGCCACTGCAGTCAATCAGAGTTGGATATTAATCTCTTAGACAAGATACCTACGTTTTCTGGATGAAGGGACCTTTATCCACCACTGCCTCTATTTTTCTCTCCACCAGCAATAGTGCAGGAGTTAAATGGTTTGCTCTGGGGAGGCAAAGGCAAATAACGTGGTTTTGTGTGGCCATACTTCCCAGCGAGGTAACATCCCTAAAGGAAGCACAGCCTAAAAGGAGCGATGGACTAGTGACAAGATTTGGAGGGGTTGATAGTAAGAGATTTAATGATGATGGAGAAAGGGAGATGAGAGCAAATCAGTGTTAGCACTTGGCTCTTGTAACAGTGATGTGCTGCTGAGAGGGCTCCCTGCTGAAATTCACTTCCTCTGGAGTCTGCATGTTTGGCACAAATAGGCCCTTGCAAAGGACCAGCACACAAGGTAACTTTGTGTTAACTGCTGAGCAAAGAGGATTAAACACAAGGCTTCAATTGTTGCGAGGGAAAGGAAACGTAGCATTTTATGCAGTGGCCCTGTCTGAGCAGGGTCCCAAAGCCTGAGAAAAACATTGCATACTTGAAAATGGAAGGATGAGGATGGCTGATGAGTGTGAAAGTGGTTTTTATGCTAAATGTAGCTGATGCAAAGGGAGGCTCCTTTATGGTAGTCGGAGGATCTATAGGTACGTAAAAGCTGAATCTTTTGCACAGATATTAAGAGGCTGAAATGACATGCTCAGCCCGTCCCTTCCCAAGGAGGCCCTTGGTGCTTGGGTTGACAGTGTTATGAAAGGTCTTGGTCACGTTTCAGAGTCTGCAGGGAAGGGCTTTAAGCCGAGCTGCTGCTGTCTGCTCCTCCCTCAGTAGCAAAGCGCTTGGCAGCCTTGCAGGCCAGGAGCTGGTCGTTGTGTGAGAAGGAGCCACAATGTGCAGCCACTGTGTGACGCAAGGCCAGCCAAGATGGCTTGGTACAGTGGGCCACAATTGCAACGTTCAGTTGGAAATAAGTGCCAAAGGCAGGAAGAGGGCCTGGAGAGAGGAGAGGAGGTGTAGACATGTGGTTTACTTTTGCTATCGCTCTTGCTAACCTTGAACCAAGCTCCATTTCCCTCAGGTGCAGTCAGAGCCAGCCCAGGTAAGGCTGCTTCTTGCTGGCCTCTTCCTACCCGGAGTCCACATGATCCCTGGTGTGAGGGTATGTGCCCTTGGACTACATCGTGGAAGCCAGCACCATGCAGTCCATGGGCATATACACTTGCCTCAAGGTTTATTTCATCACGGCTGCCATTGACCAGCGCTGGAGGATGCTCTGCTGTTCAGAAAAGACAGACTGACTAGCTGCTAATGGAGAAGTGTATTTGACTACTTGTTTCTTCTTTTCTTTAGGGATATATAGGTCTTCCAGGATTATTTGGGCTGCCAGGGGCTGATGGAGAACGAGTGAGTATTTTGTGAAGAAAATCTTGGCGTGTTCCTTGAAAACAATTCTTCAGAGCTTGTTGTAACCTACTCTGTTCCTTGTTCCTTAGGAAAAAGGCAAGCATGCTAATATTTAGACATGTCCTCTTTAGCCTATTTCTGCCCTTGCATGAAGGCTCGTGTCCTGATGTTGATATTCAGCTTAGGAAAACCTAGGCTTCAGGCAGGGTCATCAGGCCATACTGATGAGTAGGGAAGAGTTTTCCTGTATTTTCCTTGTTGACAACCCGGGAAAAAATGTAAGTAGAAATTCCCCCCTCCCACAGGAGTGACATCCTAGCCACAGTGTCCCAGTGTTTTGGGTGTCCAACTAGAGATGTCTGGAAAGGACCTGCATCTCAGAAGGGGCAGTGCCGGCAGCTTTCTAGTGATGGCCTTCCTTCCAGCTACATCAAGTTGGGTAGCCAAGAATGGGGCTCTCTAAAGGGCTGTAGCTGCTGTTCCCATTTGTCCTCCCTTCACCCCACCCTTTCCCTCATGCCTTCTCCAAACCCACATGTTCAGAGCTTTGCAGGACCTCCCTTGCCTTTCTGCACTTCTCCCCCACATCTCCCCACCCGCCTGACCTCTGCCCATCAAGGACCCCCTCTTCCCACAGCAAGAGCTCCTAAGGAAGGTCACTGTAAGATGAAGACTGTTTTGTTCTCACTTCTTCTCCCTCAAATGCAAATTCCAGAAACAAGAGAGGCCCCAGGAGCGTGTGGGAGTGTGCGTGTGCCTGCCTGGGAGGGGACTACCCTGTGCTCTACAGTCGCTGATTTAATGCTTGCAGAACTAAATAAGAAACATAAACAGAAGTTCTCCAGCGAGTGCCTTGGCGGTGGCCTTCGTTCGGTTCCAGACCAGTAGCTTAATGACTGCCCCTGCTAAGCACAACTTCAGCCTGTTGCCCTGGGTGTGGATGCTGCCTGTGTGTGTCCTCAGGGAGGGCTGTAGTTAGTGGGTGAAGGTTAATTGTCTTCTGCTCTTGCAGCTGACTGCAAGTAGCTGACATTTTGATTCCCGAACAATGCTGCCGTCATTAGCCTGTTTTGCATTTCCCTTTCTCTTCTAGTTTTGTTATGTATTGTTGTTTGGCTGTTTGCTTTCTCAACCAGACCTATTATTTTTTTTCTCTGTGTGTTTTCCTTGCAGGGGATCCCTGGAGTTCCTGGGAAGAGGGGCAAGATGGGTAGGCCGGTAAAGTTTTTCCTCGTCTATTATGCAGATTTTGTTAAATGAAACTGGAAACAAAACATGTGGCTTTTAGCTGGGCCCCTTCACATCTTCTGATGGGAGCTAAATGGGGAGATCAAACAAACCTTTCTGTGTCTCAGACGTGCTCATTCTCTTGCATTTACTGTTTGGTGGTCTCCCCAGTCCCATCATGTTTACTTGTCCTTGCTGTCATTCTCTCCAACACTTGTACCATCTTGGCTTGTATAATGCAAATGCACTTCTGTATAGCAACTTTCTTGTCCTCACTGGTGGTACAGGGTTAAAGCAGTAACAGATCTGATTAAGATATTAAAGTTTGACGGGCCAGGAGGCTGGGTAGATTTGAGAGCTTGTCAAGGAAGAAGAGGTGTTTGCAGGTAGGGCTGAATATGAGTTGGAAACTATGAGAATGCTGAAGCTGCAAAGAGGAAAAGTGTTGCGCTGACAGTAGCGAATGGCAAAATAAAAGCAGGTGGGCGAAGTATGAAAGTGGATAGAGGAACTGGGGAAAGGACAGAAAGGGATGCTATTCCCGTATCAGCCTTCTTCCAGTCTCTTCTGCGCGTTTCCCTTGCCAGAATGTATCAAGCTGTTTGCTCCAGGAGTCAGCGGAGAGATCAGGCCCGCTCATGCGCTCACGCATCTCATTGCCTTTATACCTTGTCTTCCACATTAGTCTTGAGTTTCCCTCCATCTCCCTGACATCATTGCACTCGCAGGCTCCTTGTAAAATTTCCACTTACCCCACACAGAAAAATCCAAGGCTTTCCTCTTGTCACCCTCACATGCGAATGTGCACTTTCTGGGAGTCCCATGCCTACTGCTTGCTGATGTTCTCACAGCAGAAGCCATGCAAACATCCTAATGGCTTCACATTCATCCCTGCTGTGACTGTTCGTGCTCTCAGTGGGACTGGTGGGAGGAAATCAGCTGTGGTGCCTTCTTTTTTTCTTTTTCCTTTTTTTTCCCCCAAAATCTACTCCAAGTCTTACATTTTTGTAAGCTGCTAGTTACACCAGAAACCTCTATGATGAATAATTGCAGAGAGCCAGTCGAAGTAACTATGACTCATTGACCAGAGTAAAACAAACAAAGCAACTGTCGTTAGGTACAGGGTTTCTGCTCTCCGACTTGTTTCTGCATAGAGCATGCTGTAGGCTCAACGCGTTCCAGCTGTTGTTTGGCTGGCTTTTGTAATCTTCCAGGCAAGAGTTTTTTGTCTGGCGGTCGCTGTTACAAACAACACGCTCCCTTGAGATGAGCAGGGAATCACTCAACCATGTAGGCATTTAGGCTGGGATCTAGAGAAGAGATTAAATGCCTAAGCATGAGCACCTTTGTTCTACTAGGCTCTTTCAGAGAGCTTTGGCTTCATCCCTGCTTCATAATATCAGGTTTAATAAGAAATCTTGAATGGACTGATGCTGATGATTTGTACTTCCGAGCATTAACCAAAAGATTAAGTGACATGTAGAGTTATTCAGGAAATCACTGGGAGAATAGAAAGTAGGAACCAGCTGACCTGATTCCCATTCCAACACTTATCTATTGGCCTGTGCTGTCTTCCAGCTGATTTGCAGTGTTAGTGACCCTGCTGTGATTTTTCTTGTCTCTCGCGTCCCTGCTCCACTTGGTTTGCTGGCGCTGCTACTGTTCCTGTTCTATTTCAGTTTTGTCATTACAATGGAGAGCTCTTGGAAGCCCTTGTTAGCTACCGTCTGAGGTTGGTAAATGCTCTGGAGAGTAGGAAAGGAGTTGGTAATAAATATGTTGCTCTACCTAGTTCTGTTTGGTATAAGCCGGCAACAGAGTAAGTGCTTGGCGGAGGAGGGGCAGGGGCTGGGGGAGTTCACATGTGACACCGTGGGCCTCCCAGAATGATGTCAGAGTCAATGATTAAAATAGACGAACTGGACATGAGTCAGATTTTGAAACCATTCCAGGGAAGTTAAGTTCTGCAGAGCTGTGAGGGACATGGTGAATCTGTCGTGGAAACAACCGACTCCATCTCCCATTCTGATCTCCCTGCAGTGCATCAGCAGAGCAGGAGACGAATGTGTCCCTAATGTATGGGCCCTGGCGAGCACTTGAGCAAGGAGAGGGTTGAGGGCAGGTTGGGGAGAGAAGTATGATTAAAGTGCAACATACCAGGAAGACTGAAATAACATGAGTCTGTATTTCTCCAGGTCTACTGCCTATTTTAGGGATAGGCTGGAGGCCTGCAACCAAAGTGACTGGTTACTTAAAACTTCAGTGTTGCCAAAGCAATGGCTGAGAAGGATGGGTTTTTATGCTGTTCAGCTGGGCAGCTGGCAGAAAGAGAACAAGGGCATGGCAAAGCCACGTTGCTGCAAGGGTGGAAGGGCTGTATTCCCAGCCTTGCTGGGGGATGCACAGGGGATAGATCAGTCATAATTCATCTTTAGAAAGGAGATGTCCTGTCACTGGCCATGGTGTGAACCAGATAACCCACAGGAAGAGGAGATATGGCTAGTCACTCGTCCAGGATGGCAAAACTGAAAGAGGTATGTTTTCTTTTGAGGACAGAGGTGGTTATATTCCTGGAAGGAAACTCGAGCCTGCAGAACAAATAATGCAAGGTGTTTTGTTAATTAGGAAGAGGGAGTAGCACATGATGGCCCACCCTCTGTCAAAGAGAGGTAGCTGCACAGACGGATGGGTTTTGGAACACAGTCCATGCCTGAGTGATTTGTTGGTGGATGACTTTATACTATGGAAGATGACTAGCTGCAATCAGAACTGTCTGAATTACAGATTATATTAAACTTCAAATACAGTGTAATATTTTCAAAAGTCCTCAAGTCCTCTTAGTGAAAGAGGCTTGACGAGGAGCTTTTAGGAAATGTATCCAAAGTGTTTCTGTGCTTTGAACTCTTTTGTTGTTCACCTTTGTTATTGATGAGTGCTCATTTCTTGCTCTTTTTTCATGTCTATAGAGTATCAATAATGCATCAGCTAAGCTGTCTTGTGCCTGATTTTAGCTTATAATGTTCTCTATCAGTCATACTATTTTAAAAGAGATGGAAAGGAAGGAAGGGAGAAGCCCAGGAGCTGAGCAATACATGTGAGGTTACCAGCACTAGGAAGAATTCTCGTTTCTGAATCAGTGAGCTCTTTCCTCATCTCTTACTCTACCTCTGGTGGTTGCAGTCTAAGCAAATATAGGTAACCTGGAGCGAGATTCATCAGAGCTCCTGAGAGAAGGAAGGCAGAATTGCAAGGCTGATGGAAACAAGGTGTTTAGAAGGCAGTTAGCAGCATTAGTAGTTGGAACATCGGTGGTGGTATATGACTTTGCAGTGCGGTTTCTATTTAAGGAGCAAAGTTTAGTAATTCTTAGGTTTGCCTGAGATCTAATCTTGGTTTAGTAAAACACATCGGAGGTTTCCTTCTGATTTCCTGAAAACCTGTTGGTGCTACTCTTCCCATGGCTGGAAATCAAGCTGAGCACTCAAAGCCTCGCTGGGTCAGGTACTGTGCAAACTCACAGTGGAAAAAAAAAAAAGATCCTGGCCCAAGTAGTCCATCAGGCTGGATTAAGAAGCAACACAGGATCAAACTAACCCCAAGGCTGGGAAGTTTAGGTAGCAGCAAAGTGAGCAAGTCGTTAGTACCACAAACAGTCATTTCAGTTTTCTTGCCTGTCTAGCTGTGCTCATCACTGTTCTTTCCCTTGTCCTCCTGCAGCTCGTGTGTGAGTGATAAGCAGCTGTGTCCTGCCAGCTGTAGGACTGCATGACGGGGGTTTCTGTACACCTGCTAACCTCAGACGAGGGAGGCAAATGCCTCCTGACAGCACAGGCTCTGCTGTTGCGCTTTACACAGCCTTTGGCAAGTGCCAGCATGTTGCCAAAGCGCTGCTCCAAGGAGATAATTTGTCAGATGGAGTAGATTGTATAACTAGCAGGCAAGGAGGGAGGGTTTGCACTCGAGATGCACGGCTAGGAAAGCTGACGCCCCTGCCCATGGGAATGGTGGGAGCCTGCCAAGACAAGGTGGGGAGATGCTGCATTGACCGGGGACTTCACAGAAATCAGGAGATGTGGTGACTGGTCTCTCCCAGTGGCGTGCAACTTTGGACAAGTCATTTTGCTGTTCTTGACTACATGCAAATCAGGGATAACACACTCAGCTCTCCTTTGAGCTCAGTGGCTGAAAGACAGTATATAAATGCCAAGGAGTACTACTCAGAGTATTACTGTCAAGGAACAGTTGCTTTGAAGTGGTAGTGGATTTTAAGTATTAGGAATAAGTGCATAGGTGAGTACAGAAGCCTCCTTTCCCTCTGCCTGTCAGCCGCAGATGGAGGTTGTAGGAGCCAGCAGTGATCTGGCAGCTACTCCAGTGTAGCCTCAGGATTTGTTGTGAGCATCAGTGCTGTGGCAAGCTGCTGAATCTGGCATCCATTTTCCGTGAGCTGACCACAGTCAGGGTCCCCTTTGCCAGCTCTCAGCTTGTAAGGTGGCAGCGCCTTCTTTCCAGGCTGTTTTTCATGTCTGCTTTCTTCTTCCATGTTGATTTATACAGTTCATGTCTTAACTCTTGCCTCAAGTCTGAGTGCATCCCTTTTTCTCCATCTCATAAGTCATCAGAAGTGCATGCGGTTCTGCTGCGCTCCCTACCAAAAAGGAAAGGCTATTGCATCATATGAAAAGATATTGCCTTGTTGGACATGCCAGATAGCCAAAAGCAGGGCAGCCTTTAGGTTAGGAAAGTTTCATTTTGCAGCTTTCCCTAGCCTTTTGATATGTATCTGAGATAACTTTGTGGTGAATGTAAGTGTTTGCGGCTTTGCCAAGTTACACAGCCTCAGCTGTTGTCCATGCAAACAATGGGGGGACATGTTTTGCCATGTGTCTGGAAAGGCTGGCATAACTGCAAATCACTGAGAAAATAAATCTTGCTCCTCTCTGTAGGGACTGAGACTTTAACCAACTCCTCTTTTCTTCCTGCTCCAGAAG